CAACAGACAAACAAAAAGAATCATAATGAAATCCATACCGCTTTCTTCACTGAATGAGAATTCAAAGTTAATCTCAAATTTAAGGCCAAAGAAGAGCTGGAAGCAAATGTGACTTAAAGAACGGCTATAGTAAACTTAAATTTGAAATTTACTTTGAATTCTCACTTTAGTAAATAACACTGCTAGAACCGATTTCAAGACTTCAATTCCCTGCAAGACCCTAATATTACCACTGGATGGCACTATTGTCATTATAATGGAACTCAGTGAAGCAGCGCTGTGGCTCCTGTCTGATGTCAGTCGACTGTCGTTTAGTGATTGGCTCAAAGGCCGGGGTTCTGACGTAGCTGGAGGTAGATAGCGCTCAGGCGGCGGCTCGAGCTCGCATTCCGGAAGAGACCCCAGCAGGAATCATGGTGAGCGGGAGATATGGGCGAGCTATCCTGACAGCCATCACTGCAGCCCCGTTACTGTGATCCCATGGGCTAGCTGGCTGTGTACCCCCTTACTGTGATCCCATGGGCTGGCTGTTAGTGTACCCCCTTACTGTGATCCCATGGGCTAGCTGTCAGTGTACCCCCTTACTGTGATCCCATGGGCTGGCTGTTAGTGTACCCCCTTACTGTGATCCCATGGGCTAGCTGTTAGTGTACCCCCCTACTGTGATCCCATGGGCTAGCTGTTAGTGTACCCCCTTACTGTGATCCCATGGGCTGGCTGTTAGTGTACCCCCTTACTGTGATCCCATGGGCTAGCTGTCAGTGTACCCCCTTACTGTGATCCCATGGGCTGGCTGTTAGTGTACCCCCTTACTGTGATCCCATGGGCTAGCTGTTAGTGTACCCCCCTACTGTGATCCCATGGGCTAGCTGTTAGTGTACCCCCTTACTGTGATCCCATGGGCTGGCTGTTAGTGTACCCCCTTACTTTGATCCCATGGGCTAGCTGTCAGTGTACCCCCTTACTGTGATCCCATGGGCTGGCTGTTAGTGTACCCCCTTACTGTGATCCCATGGGCTAGCTGTCAGTGTACCCCCTTACTTTGATCCCATGGGCTAGCTGTCAGTGTACCCCCTTACTTTGATCCCATGGGCTAGCTGTCAGTGTACCCCCTTACTTTGATCCCATGGGCTAGCTGTCAGTGTACCCCCTTACTGTTATCCCATGGGCTAGCTGTTAGTGTACCCCCTTACTGTAATCCCATGGGCTGGCTGTCACTGCACCCCTTACTGTGATCTCATGGGCAAGCTGGCTGTTGGTGTCCCCCTTACAGTGATCCCATGGCCTGGCTGGCAGTTTACCTGGCTCTTTGTCTGGGCCTGTATGGTGCTGGGCACTAACTTTGACCTATTATGGAGCTGCCTGTACTGTGAGACAGCGAGCAGGGCCTAGGAGCATCGGAAACAAGGCCGCCCCTGTGCTTATACCCGGGTTTCACAACCGGGGGCATCTTATATTTTTGTGCGTGAGGGCGGGGATCTGATGTATTTTTTTTTATTGATCTTTCTGATACCTTGATATCTTTCTTGCATTGAACAGTGTGACTTCCAAGAAGATCAGATCGCCGGTAAGTGCACACACTGTGTATGTTGATTTACCTTTTTTAGAGGATTAGGTGCCATCAAGTTATCAGCACCCAGTCAGGGTACAGTGGGAGCCCCTCATTGCCAGGGAATCCAAGGCTGTTTTATATTACTTGCCTCCCACCCCCCATTACTCGCCTCCACTCACGTCTGTCTCTCTCCCCTTCTCTGGCCTCTCCAGATTGAATTTAGCCCAGACCAGGTGGACGGTAAGTGGCTCTGGTATGCTTTGTAAGGATCCCAAATTTTCCTAACTACTAATCTGCTCTTGTGATGGAGTGCCAAAAGTTATCACCCTAATAAGTAAAGTAATAATCCCCCTTTTCATCCATAACACCAGCATCCCTGATCTGTTTCCGATTTGACTATTTCACCAACTGGTTCCATGTTTAGAACACAATGTAACAACCAGAGATCTTTAGTGTCATAGAATCCTACTTATGTTAACTCTTCCAGCATGAGTGTAGCATCCGGGGGATATGGGTGTGTTTTACTGTTGACGAAAGATTTTCAATATATATATATTAATTGCCTGCACAAAACTGTTGGCTCTTTTAAAGGGGATGGGATTATTGCGGGGTGCCATATATGTGCCCAAACTATTAGGTACAGCCCTTGCTTTAAGTGGGGTAAAGCTAATGCTCTGCAGGCAACGCCTATTGCCAGCAGCCAGCAAATCTCAGTGATGGGAGTTGCAGTCCGAAAGCTAGGCACTTGGGAGCCTTGTTTTAATATTATAAGCCGGGTCTTTGATGTTCTTGTTAGGGATATTGACGTGTGTTGCATGTTAGGATTCTATCTGTATTAACAGCCATTGGAGTGCATATGACAGGCTGTACATGAATGTGATCTATGCATTGTGTGTGATGGCCTGATAAAATATTTAATACTCTGTTTTGTTTTATGAAGGCTGCAAGGGGCTCTTAGTAACATTGTGTTTTTTGTTTGGGTTCCCCCCCTCTTTCTTTCTTTCTTTCTTTCTTTCTTTCTTTTTGCTTGCAATATCCTGCATAGTAGGACACATCCCCAGCCACCCCTCCTTGTAATAAAATGGCTGCTTTGCTGATCACTGGATGCCTTATATGGTAGAAAGGTCTCATTCTGAGCTTGTTAGTACAATACTGTTCAGGGAGGAGTCGTTTGAATTGAGGGAGGAGGGTTTGTCCTGCATTCCTGACAGAAAGGCTTTGCTATTAAAATAGTGTCTTTATGCCGTACTTTATTTTATTTTTCTTATAGGCTGAATATTTCTTATATTGCATGCAGCACTGAGAGGAACTGTCTGTGGGAGTATTTTTCTCCACTCTCTGGAATTTGCCAGAGGGAGGTTAGATTCAGGGAGTGCCACAGGAAGGAAGTGACAGCCTTTCATGAGAGAGAGAAGCTGCTTGCCTCACATCTAGTGCCATGACTGATGATGGTTACTAACAGATCTTTCTTTACCTTCCAGCTTCTACAGCCTTTTAAGCTAGGGCTTCAGATGTATACCCATGGTCTCTGTAGATCGCAAGTTGTAAAATACATACAACTGTCTAGATGGCACCAACAGTAGGAAAACAAGATACACCTTTTAATTTTAATAAACATGTATAACGTAAGGATTTAAGAGGGCCCTGCTGATAGAATATATAAAGGGATGACAAACATACACAAAGGGAAGTGAAGTTAGGTGAACAAGTGATCTGACTTTACCCGAGAATGGGAGAGGTGTTTGCGAGGAGGGAAGCACAATACATTAGAAGATCGAAGAAGGCAGAGGAAGGTTATAGGGATGAGTAATTAAAGGGACACTGTAGGCACTGTATCTGCTTCATCTCATTAAACTGGTTATAGTGTCTGGAGTCTTCTGGTCCCATCATTTCTATCAGCATTAAACAGTTTTTAAATTTTAATGTTTTAATGGTAAACAAGAGTCCCCGGCAATCCATCCCCTCTGTGCTGCTTTGGCTAATAAGGAAGTATTAGCCTGAGCAGAAATGGGCAGCTCTGATATGCTGAGTGTCAGCTGACTGCTTGTAGCCTGTCAGAGTTCCAACTGACGGTATGAGTGGGTATGACAACAAGGAAGTGTGTAATCTCTGCCTTAGCTACACAGACTGAAGGGGCCGGACTGTGGGTGGCCAGGGACTCTTAATTTGTGGCATACTGCACGAACATAGTGCAACACTGAATATAGGGACAGTGCCAGGGTACTCCAGGCACTCTAACCAATTCAAAGAGATGAAATGCTTATAGTGACTACAGTGTCCCTTTAAGAGAAGAACTGCAGAGAAATGTTAATTGTAACTTTGTGCATTCTTTGCAGGGAATAATATTTAGGGTCATTTTGTATCAAATTGTCTGCTAGAAGCATTTAGTTATCGGAAATTTCTTCAAAAAATTAATTCCATATTTTGATTTCCTTAATATGCAAAACTAAAATAGGATGGATATGTATAGAGAGAGAGAGAGAGAGATATTATATGTAAAGGAAAAAAATTTATCCTAAATTACTTGCTTTGAATGTGTCCTTCAATGCTCATGTTAGTTTTCTGCAGTTGCAGACGACCCCCTCCTTCTCTAATTGGGAGTCTGTCATTCTGCTATATGGCGACTGACCTTATCTCATAAACCCTGGTTCTGTAAGTAGTTTGTCCACAAGCAGTTCCAGCCACCGCACTGAATGGAAGTGCATAATGAATTGAAAGTAACCATACCTCTGATTCCACGTTTACAAGCAACCCACTTTACTATTTAGTGAATAAGACTGTGCTATGCCATTGGCTGAGCTGCAAACTGTGCATTTGCAATCCACGGATCGTCTCTTCACGGAGGAACTAACTATACTATGGATTGTCTTATAGTCATGGCAGTTTGCAAAAAGCAATACCACTCTAAGCCCCTCACAAATGAGATTGGACTCAAGGTGCTCTATGCACATGGCTATGGTGCTTATATTTGATGCTATTGCTTTTACAATATTCAATATTCTCTCTCTCTCTCTCTCTCTCTCTCTCTCTATTCTACGCCATGTATATGTTCATAGGATTCTCACGAAAAAAAAATTCAACCTCTTGACATTGCTTGGAAAGATTATCCAACCGTTTTATTATGTAATGTTCATGCAACAATTTTTATATGAATCAATTGCCTCTGCTTGTTGAATCTATTTAAAATCTATTTTTACTTTAACTATTGTTGAAATGTGTACTGCAAGCCTACCTGGTCTTCTCTAGCTGGAGGCCCTAAGGTCTTTATAGCTACCCCCAATCCTGAATGTTGTCAAAATGTACAATGTTTTCTGTTGCACAAAGCAACATGGCTTGCAGTGAGTGTCTGGATCTTCTGTGACTTGGCAGATTACTCCTTTGTGTACCTTGACCTAGCAAACATTGTGACTCATTTCTATGGATAGCCAGTTCTGTCTTCTTATTGAACACTTTAGACAGTGATAGGTCAACTAGCCTACAGAATGTTTAATTAAAAAAAAAAAAAAAAAAAAATTCATGCTGTTTCTTACTGTCCTGTAATTGCTTTTTTTTGTTACATAATTTATTTATTTTGTCCTTTAGATTTCAAGGAGGCTTTCTTGCTCTTTGATAAAACTGGAGATTCCAAAATCCAGCTTGGCCAATGTGGGGATGTCATGCGGGCCCTGGGGCAGAACCCCACAAATGCAGAGGTTCTTAAAGTGTTGGGAAACCCAAAAGCTGAAGGTGTGTACCTCCCCTGGCTATCACACAGTCTACATGAAAAATGTATTTATTTATAATCCAATGTTAACTTACTTTATAGGTTTTTATTTCCTGCTCTGAAAATTGAACTTCAATCACACTCAGGAGACTACTGCAGGGTCTGAAAAGCTATTTTCAGGGCAGGAGATAAGGAATTCTGAATTTAACAGACTGTGCAATAAAGGAAGTATAATCATTGGGTGACTCTTTACAGTAAGTTTTTTGGATGGCTCTGTAAGTCACATGCAGGGAGGTGTGACTAGGGTTTTATAAACAAAGGGATTTAACTCCTAAATAGCAGAATATTGAGCAGGGGTGTGATCTATGCACCAAAACTGCTTCATGACGCTAAAGTTGTTTTGGTGCCTATAGTGCCCTTTTTAAGGAAGTAATTCCCAAACCAGTCACCATGACCCAGCAACAGTCCAGGTTCTGTCAGTATTGCCATTGGAAACTAAATTGGAAGAACATGGACTGTTGCTGGGCCACAAGTACGGTTTTGCGAACCTTTTTTTTTTTTTTTTTTTTAATAAACATTGGATGCTCACCTTACTGAGAACTTTGCACAAGTGCTTGAAGGGACACTTCTAGCCCCACAACTAAAGCAGTTTTGAAGGAAAAATAGGAGTTTAGGTGGTAGCCACTCAAAGCCTACTACCTTAGCTCAGACATTAAGAGAAACTCCTGTTCAAGTTCTTGTAAGCATTCTGTGTGTGCAAAGCACTTGGATATAGGGGTATCAGCTGTGCTGTATTACCAAAGACCTTTTTGGAAAGGTCAGATTAGCACTGGCCCTCTCATTGCTTTTGAATTGACAAATGGAGCCTGCATTAATTGGGCATCACTGTATTGTCCTATACTCCAGTGCTTGTTTTTATTTTTAATGATCCACCGATGTAAAGATGTAATTGCCAGGTCAGCATTAAACAATACCTAGTTCACATTTGCTTTGACATAGTTTCGTGGAGAGAGATTGATGTTTCCTCCCTTCCTGGTCAAGCCATCTGACTGTTGTAGGCTAAGAAAAGCCTTGTTTAGCCGTTGTGCTGGAGAAAGCTAACCCTTTTATTTTCTCACCCTCTCCCACACAGACCTAACCACTAAACATATCAGCTTTGACCAGTTCCTTCCCATGCTTCAGACCATTGCCAAGAACAAGGACCCAGGCACACACGAAGACTTTGTGGAAGGTTTGAGAGTCTTTGACAAGGAAGCCAATGGCACTGTAATGGCAGCAGAGCTTCGTCATGTTCTTGTTACACTCGGTAAATATTTCAATAGTATGAGTCACCATTTCCATCGCAATGGGAAAAGTACTGCTTTACAGTCCTGTACATTCTAACCAGTACTTTGATAGTGAAAAATGTCCTTAAAATAAACAAACTGTCTTGCACTTCTAGATGTTACCCTTAAAATCTAAAAATGTTCTATATTCTAGGGGAAAAGCTGGGAGAAGATGAAGTGGATGCACTTTTGTTTGGTCATGAAGATGCTAACGGTTGCATTAATTACGAAGGTAGGTATTTTTAGAAATGTATACAAACTAGTTTAAGTATTTTGAGATTACATTCATTGCCATCTGCTGAAAGGTTTCCCACCAATTTACTCTTGTAGCAGAATGGTTTGTGTGTGTGTGTATATATATATGTGTGTGTGTGTGTGTGTGTGTGTATATATATATATATATATATAATTTTTTATTTTATTTTTATTATTATTATTTTTAATTTTTTTTCTCACAAATATGGGCTAAAATAAATCCTCTAGTTCGAATGCTACATTTTCTCAAAGCCTGCCTTTTATGGTGTGCTTGAAAAGAGATGTTGTTTGAAGACCTATATCTGCAAGAAGCATCTGAGTTTGCAACCATGTTAAGTATTTCATAAATAAAACCTGTTCCTTCCCAACTTAATCTTCGTTCATCTAGGTCTGACTTTTTTTTATCAGTAAATCCCTTTGGACATAACTCAGATGAGCAGATAATTTAAAATTTTACCTGTTCTCATTCTCTTGTTATAGAAATGGTTTACTCCTCCCACGTAAAGTATGTAAAGTATTTAAGGACCGCACCGCTCACGCTCACTACCTCATCCCCTAAGCGACTATCTGATAGAATGTCTGTCCACTCTGCAAGTCTGGAGGACCCCAATACTGAGGGAAAGGGAGCTCCCCCCCCCCACTCCCTTTATAGTTTGACAACTCTGGCTGGACACAATTTAGTGGGACTTAGTGGTTTCACAAAAGTATAAATTGAGAGGTTGAACCACATATACTATGGCAAATCAACCAGCAACACCTGGTCTGTGAACCCACAGCACCCAGACTGGAACTTACACTTACCAACCCCACCACAACCCGTACGACCCCGCCAAAATCTAAATTAACTCAATTTATTTATCTCTTTCTTTAACGCCTCTAAGATCTCTATAACCTACCTGACACAAATAAGTTAGACAAGACCAGCCAGAGTGAAGTTAATGCACAATGTTGAATGCTTGAAAATTTACTGATGAATATTGTTTACTGCTCAGAACTGACCCATAAGTGCATAATGGAATGTGGACATCATACCTTGCGACCCGGAAGAATTCTTCCGACGACATTCCTCACACTATCTTGGCTCCACAACATGACACCATGTTCTGCTCATTATGTTATGTACTCTATGTTAACTCAATGTACAGCTCTGTTTGTATGAAAATTTTTGACAATAAAGACAAAAAAAAAAAAAAAAAAGAGATGGTTTACTCTACAGCAGGTGTGGGCAACATTCGGCCCTCCAGATGTTTTGGACTAAATCTCCCTTGAGGCTTTGCCAGCATTGTAGCTGTAAGGGCATTACATGGGAGATTTAGTCCAAAACATCTGGAGGGTAGAAGGTTCCCCACGCCTGCTCTACAGGGCTTAGGTGGGGGTGGGGGGCATGCATTTGTTGATGTAGGGTATCTGAAGTTTTGTCTCATGGATCTTCCTTCCCACAGACTTTGTCAGGCACATCATGTCTGCGTGACCGCAGCCCCTGGGTATGCTGGTACTCCTACCCGGTTTCAGTTTGTGACTTTTTTGTTTTTATCCATCTTTATTCCTATCTCCTAGATTCTTTAGCATGTTTCTGCATGCTCTATGCTGTGCCAGAGCTACTCTATAATCGTTCTTAAACTCTAACCAAATGTAGGGTGTTATATGGCTTAACATGTTTGGCTGAACCTGCTACTGTCTCCATATTGACAGTGAGCATGTGTTCTGTATATGTGTGTGGATTTGCAGTGGACTCTGAGTGAAGAGTAAGGCTTCCGTGATTTGCCAATGTAATATATATTTTGTATCCTTATTGGCTCTTGCTGCTACTTAATAACTTTGCCTTGAATGATCTAAAATAATGATTTCTATCTGAGATTCCCAACAAGCTACTGATGACCCAGAGTTCAACTTAAATGATCACTTTAGCCCCTTAAGGACCAAACTTCTGGAATAAAAGGGAATCCTGACATGTCACACATGCCATGTGTCCTTAAGGAGTTAAGCATCATGAAAACTAGAGGTTTATTGTTGTAGTTATTGTAGGTAAGATTTTGAGTGAAAATAAAGGGGCAACATCCAGAAGGTTTCAAGTTGTCAAAAAAAAAAAATGTTTCCCCCTGAGAAAATGCATAACTCGAACTTCAGCGTTATCCATCTAAACATTGATGCTTAGTGGGATGCACAATAACCACTTAAGCTATAGTGGTGGGGATTTCCCTTTTTTGACCTGAGGGTGTTTCAGGGCTTACAATTCCCGTAAGTTTTAACCTGGGTAGTGGTAAATTACCATTCATGCGTCCAATATAAGTGAGGAAGTATGAAATGCAGAGTTTAATTTGGCTGCTGTTTTTAAATGCAACGATCAGAGTGCATATGATTTCAGCTAGTATGCTTTGAAATAGTGATTTCAAAATAGTAGGGCCCGACAGTATGCAAAATATGTAACATCACATGCGTTGTTACGTGCTACACGTTGTAATTTAAGTGCTGCTAAAGAAATGCCATTAAATTATTAGACTCTTCCCAGGCAGTGCACTAGTGAGAAGGCTGATACATTAGGACAATTGGCTTATTCATTTTGTGTGGTGTGGTTATCTCCATGCATTTCAAAAGTTTTATAGAAAACATTCTAAATGTAGAGTTGAGCATGGTGGGTTTTAATGCAAAACATTGTGACTTCATGAGCTAAAGTGTGTGTTTGTGTTGAATAGATGTTTAAGCTGTTATTTTTCTTTCTCTATTAATATTTAAATTTTTCCTTCTCCAATCCAGAAACCTATTGCTTCTCTCCTCCTAGCAATCTGCTGATTGCCAGTGCTGCGTTGTAGACTGTAGGCGTCTTTGATGCTTAAGCTAAATACTTCCAATACTTGCTCAATTTGCTGTAGTTGATACTAAATGTTGGGTTTGTTTGTTTTTTTTTTTTTTTGTTTTTTTATTTATCTTTGTCTGATCCTCACTATCTGTGGGAAGAGGGGGCTCTAGATATTAAAGATTTGGGGGGGGGGGAGGGGGAGTTTAATATATAATGTTTGGAAAGACAAGTGGCCCATATTTCCAATGCAGAGCCAAACGGTCACAGTTTCGAATATCATATATATTTTTTTTGTATTTTATCATTTTTGGAACGGTCTTGCAAACCCTCTTGGTGTAAGAGCCCCCTTTCCACTTCCCAAGGCTGCACTTTTTGACCTGCTGTTTCACAGAACAGGTGAAACGTGTGTGTGTGTGTGTGTGTTTTTGATTAGTTTTTTTTTGCTCTGCATTTTTAACCTCTCCACAACAAATATTAAACAAATAAATATCTTAAGTCCTGACATCTGTCACTAAATTGCTTTGAGTCTACACCACTATGTGACCCTTTTAAAGTAATCCAAATGTATTTTCCCCCTTTTTTTTTGGCTTGTTTTTGCAAGAGAGGGTTGTAGTGTACTGATTGTTTAACTTTCCATCTTTAACATCTTTGTGGAAGTTTAAAAAAAAAAAAAATCTGTGTGTGCATCTTGGGTTCCCCCAGCCATTTTTATTCATATAATCCAATACCTGTTTTTATCTCTTCTACAGAACTTGTCCGGATGGTAATGAGCGGCTGAATAGGCATTACTCTGTACCTGCTGAAGGAGAGCAGCTATGTGCATTCATGTCCTTTTTTTTAATCTATAATATGGTTTCTCATTGAGGGGCCAGGCTTTCTAGGAAGTGCCCTCTCTACTTCTGCTGTCGTCAATCAGTTTACAGTGTTTCAGAACCATTGAGCCTGCTAGAACCTGGCATATAAAGGAAGTGAAGATCGAAGCCTCATAGACCCTCAGAATTAAGTGAAACTGAAGAAATATATAGTCACCATCCTTCTCCTCCTGTAATGCTTCAGTGTGCTGGTTAAATTATTCTATTTCTTTTCTCTCCAACACCAAATAAAGTAAACTACCTTTTTTCAAAACCTTTTTGTATTAATGTTCCTTAATTTTGTGTTTCTTTGTAGTCGAGAGTGCGGGCTATGCAGGGGGTGAGGGCAAAGTCCTCTCATATTTGCATGTTGCGTCTTTTGTATTGATGAATTATTTTACGAAGGGTATAATGATACTAAAATATAGAGCATTGTCTGCCACGTGCAGACCTATCAAATTAATACAAACCCCATGTAGAACAGATTCATCTCTCTGCATGTGCAGAATTGAGCAGTGAGACATGATCTATACACCAAAACGGCTACATTAAGCTTAAGTTGTTTTGGTGACTAATGTCCCTTTAACCTCATTCTCTTCCTTTGCTATGCTCCCATCACTCAAATTCATTACTCCTAGTTTTACCATCACTGGTAATGATCTAAATGATGACCCAGAGTTAAACTTAAATGATCACTTTAGCCCCTTAAGGACCAAACTTCTGGAATAAAATGGAATCCTGACATGTCACACACCAAAACAACTTAAGCTTAATGTAGCCGTTTTGGTGTATAGATCATGTCTCACTGCTCAAATATGGCGATCTGGGCCAGAACACACCAAGCACTTTGGTGCAATAACATTAAACCCATCTTAGACAGTGAGGTATATCATTGGTCAGGAGAAACATTATTTAATAAAAAAAATTATTAGAAAATTGAAAGATGAAATGCCCATACATAGCATCCCCAACCCTAGTCAGGTCCCTGATTGTACCTTCACCCCTCCTCTATGCACAAAGGGTACTAAGTTGGTCAGGTCCCAGACGTCTGTTTCAGGTTGACTTGCTGATTCTATAGCAGGTGCTGAAAGTTCTAAAGAACTAAGAAAGGCAGGTGCCTCTGTATTCGAAAATATTTTGTGAACAGTCCCATTATGAGTCACCACCAGTGACCTTGCTGCCATTTTCCGATACTCCACCACAGCTATCTGCAGTTGGTGTGTTACAAAGCTGAGAGATCGTTGCCACTGTAGAGAGGACCTTGTTAGGTATCGATAAAAATAAGGGTGGATTCCTCGAAGGAGTAAGGTGTTTTGCCTTGCAGTGCTGACATGATATGTCTCTTGTCATGTGAAAATGAACAGTGGATAATAGCATTCCTCCTCACTCCCATCACACTTCGACATCCCTACATTACCATCCTTACTTATGCTCCCATCACTCTAGTGTCTCGATAATTTCCCTTCGTTCCGGTCCTCTCATCACTCCCAGTCCCTACATCACTCTAATTTATCTTTCCTTTTATGTCCTCCTATCACTCCTTTCCTATTCTCCCAGCTATACCCATACCATCCTTCTCTATGTTCCCATCACCTAAATCTTTCCCTCTCTATTCTCCATCACTCCCCTTTTATCCATATGCTCCCTATCATTTTGTTTTAAATATGTTTATTTGTTTCATAGCATATTCCAATGCAAACGTATAACAGGTTAAAGCGGGTTAGTGTCTGCGCAGAGGCCTGGTTTTCATTGCATGTATGGGTATACAAAACGTTGCCTGCGCAGAGGCTCATCAATCATGTCTATTGTTCTACAGCGTTTAATATAATATCACATTTAAGTGTGTGTTTATTATCTTTCTATTGAAGGCATTGTTCAAACTTTGCAGTATCTAATAATCTTTTAACATTGAATGGTAACATATCATTATGTCCTTGCTGCCTGGCCTGATTCTCATCTGTCTATCTTGCATATTTATAGCCAAATAAATTATATCAATATGTAAGCATGTAGACGTGTAAATGCTCATTTAAATAAAATAATCAACTTATATTGCGTGGTCAGATATAAATTGCTGCTAAAAGTGCAGTACTGGTATAGGTTATATAATCGAGCACCCTTTATAAAATGCTGTAGTCTTATATATTAAAACACACATTAAGTTTACGAGGAGTTATGTTTCGTAATTTAAGGCGTGCATGGGAATACCGCGTTTAAGCGCTGTGTCCCAGCTGCTATAACCATGTAAAGGCAATCAACATCCCTCATACGAGATGGGCGCATTATGTGAAGCGTGCAGATATGTGTGTTGCTGGTTGACAGGCAAAATGTCAGGAAAAACTAAAGCGCGGTTCCGTGCGTCTGGATAATTGCGCCTATGCAGCTATTTCTTCATTCGCTTAAAGGACCACTCTAGGCACCCAGACCACTTCAGCTTAATGAAGTGGTCTGGGTGCCAGGTCCTTCTAGGGTTAACCCATTTTTTCATAATTATAGCAGTTTCAGAGAAACTGCTATAATTATGAATGGATTAAGCCTTCCCCCTAATCCTCTAGTGGCTGTCTCATTGACAGCCACTAGAGGCGCTTGCGTGCTTCTCACTGTGATTTTCACAGTGAGAGCACGCAAGCGTCCATAGGAAAGCATTGTAAATGCTTTTCCTATGAGACGCCCGACTGAATCGCGGCGGCGCGCTCTTGCAGCGGCGTCGCATTCAGCGGTGAGTATTAGCGGAGGAGAGGGAGGAGGAGAGCTCTCATGGCGGCTGAAAAAGGTAAGTTTTACCCGCTGCCTTCCAGAGCGAGGCGGGGAGGGGTCCCTGAGGGTGGGGGCACCCTCAGGGGGCACCCTATGAATGCCAGGAAAGCGAGTGTTTTCCTGGCACTATAGTGTCCTTTAAGTTGTGGCTATGCGTCAATAATATCTGGCAACAATACATAAAGCTTTAGTTGTGTATTTTAGCAAGCATGTAATGGCCTGTATAGGGTGCCGTGCGCGGGGGAATGTATTTAACTATTCGAGTTAGCCCGCGGATGGCGTATCCCATAGAAGCCACAATAAGTGTCATATGAGTAACGGCAATGCAGGTGATAAAACCTAACTATTTTGCGCCCATGTAGCTCAGGTATTTGATCGAAGCAGGTCTTCGCTATGGGCAAGCTTTATACAGGTTATAGTGTAATAAACTTTAGGCAACATCAGTGAACAAACGCCCCAGGGGGCAATGCTAAGCAAGAAACCATATAAACAAGGTGTATCTTAAGCTGGGAAACCATATTAGGGGAGTGTCTCCACTGGAGGTGGCGTTGTGGTGCCCGGTGGTAAAGAATGTCCAGCGTGAGGTCTGTGGCCTCTTGTGAGGTATCTGTGCGGGCTTTCCTCTGTTGTGTCCTCTCGCTGGCTTATGCCTAGAGTGCATATAATTGCCAGGCTGGTCGCTCAGTGCAGGGTCCCCCCAGCTCCCCTGGTGTGACTAATCCCCTCTGTTCCCCTCCAGGCCTGCTCTGGCCGGTCATTCGAGGGTTCCACAATGCTGTGGGCACTCAGGGACGTCAGCAGCCCGGCAGACTCCCCCCCGAAAAGTTCCCGGACTCCCTGGACCCCCCGTCCCCTGCACCTCCGCAACTCCTGCAGTTCCCCGTTGAGCTCCAGCTCCGTTAGGCCTCACCTCTCTCTGGCCTCTTGCATGTTGCCGGCGCTTGTCTCCCCGGCCACCGGTCCGCCGGGGGTCCAACTTACCCCGACGCCATAGGGCTCACAGAGTCGGGGGCATGCCTCCCCGGACCACCACCAAATCCAGGGGTTAGGGCCGGCTCTGCGTCGACCGATCTGCCGCCCGGTGGAGTCCGTCTGTGGGATCCGCCACTCCTAAGGGTCCAGGCGTCCCCGCGTGGCTCCCAGTCGCGAGCGTGTTCCACAGCCATCTTGTCTCCACGCGAGAAACGGCTCCACGGCCATCTTGTCTCCACGCGAGAAAGGGCTCCGCCATGTGTGGGTTTTCTGCCTCCAGTCTCCAGAGAATTGACTCATGGGCCGGGATCACCCCCGCCGGGCTGAGGGGGGGAGCGGGGCCGGGTCTGGTCCCCGCCTCTCTCTCGTCTGGGCTTGCGGCTTCTGCGTGTAGGCCTCATGGGTTCATCGTGCTCCGGCAGGGCGGGTTGCTCGGTGTCGGTTTGGCAGATTGTGCTCCTGTGCCTCTCCCCGCTTGGTGCTTATGTCTGCCCCGGCTTCAGGTGAGCTTTTAGTGCTATATTTTAGTTTATTTAAGCGGTTCGGAGCCGGAGCTGGCAGGGCTGGCTGCCCTCCTCCTCCCTATCATTTTGTGATGCCCACCTAACCCGCCTTCCAACATAGTTAAAAAGCTGAAAAGAGACTTGGGTCCATCAAGTTCAGCCTTCCTCGCATATGCTTTTGCTGTTGATCCGAAAGAAGGCAAAAAAACAGTCTGAAGCACTTCCATTTTTGCAACAAACTAGGAAAAATGTCCTTCTTGACCCCAAAATAGCAGTCAGATGTCTCCTTGGATTAAGCCGCTATTACCCCACTAATTAGAAATTATATCCCTGTATGTTATGTTTTTGCAAGTATTTATCCAACTGCAGTTTAAACATCTGTATGATAAAACCACCTCTTCAGGCAGGGAATTCCATATTCTTTATTGCTCTTACTGTAAAACAACCTTTTTCTTTGCTTTAGATTAAATCTCCTTTCTTCCAGCCTAAATGCGTGACCTGTCCTATGTATAGCCCAGTTTATAAATAGATTTCCAAATAATGGTTTTGTACTGGCCCCGAATATATTTGTATAATGTTATCATATACCCTCTAAGGTGCAGTTTTTCCAAACTGAGATTTACATTTTTTTTTTTTTTACCTTTCTTCGTATCAATTTTGTAGCTTGTCTCTGCACTTTTTCTAGTGCCATGATATCCTCCTTTAGAACAGGTGCCCAAAACTGCACAGCATATTCAAGGTGTGGTCTTACCAGCGATTTTATAAAGAGGCAAAATTATATTTTCATCCCAAGAATTTATGCCCCTATTTATACATGACAAAACCTTACTGACCGTAGCAACTGCAGATTGACATTGCATATTGCTGCCTAATTTGTCTATAACTATTCCCAAATCCTTCTTGTGTGTGGTTATCCCTAATTCACTACCATTTAGTGTGTAAGTTGCTTGTGCATTCTTGACCCTGAAGTGCATAACTTTGCATTTCTCTATGTTAAATTTCATCTGCCATTTTAGTGCCCAGTCCCCCCAATCTAGCTAAATCCCTCTGCAGCAAAGCAATATCCTGCTCACATTTTATTACTTTACAAAGTTTTGTGCCAGCTGCAAACACTGAAACATGGCTTTCAATGCCTATTTTAAGATCATTTATAAACATGTTTAATAGAAGCGGTCCCAAAACAGAACCCTGAGGGACACCACTTACCACGTTTGTCCAGCCTGTCCAACATGTGACTTCCACCGTGCACAATCAGCTGCCAAACACCATTTTATTGTTATGAAGGTCTGTGGTACACATCTTTATTAGGTGCAGATCACATTTTAAAGGACAATTTAAAAACAAAAACAAAAACGAAAAAAACACCCTTCAGTTTAATGCAGGGACTGGGTGCAGGGCTCGTTTACTTATGACCCTGCAATGTAAAGGATTACTGTTTAGTAAATATGGCAATACTTATATTTCAGGGTTAAATAAGCCTTTAGTGGTGGTTTACCTGCTGTGAAAGCTGTCAATCTTGGTTTTAACAGCTTATCTCCATTAGAAGCTCAGAGCTGCTGCACATGTGCATTTAGTCCCCATGGTTGACTATATATTTCCTGCCTGTTCTATGTTGCATTTTGTATTTATTGTGTATTAATATTGTTTTTGTATTTTATTGTACACGAATTGTAACAATGCAAATTTGATTTGTGGACCCAGGCCATACTTGAAAACGAGAGAAATCTCAATGTATCTTTCCTGGTAAAATATTTTATAAATAATAAATAACTGCTCATGTAGGGGAAGTCCTAGTTTGAGTGCTGTGCCTGGCTCCCCCCCCGGATGATGTCAATGGGGGAGGAGTGGAGGCGGAGCCTGAGCCAGCACCAAGGGACATCATTGCTGGAATCAGGTAAGTGACAGGGTTTTTAACCCTTCTGCACCACAGGGGAGAGGGGAGCCATGAAGGAAGGGGGCACTATAAGGATCTATAGTGCCAGGAAAACAACTTTGTTTTCCTGGCTCTATAGTTCCCCTTCAAGGCCAGGATATTACTCAAATAGAGTAACAGATTGCTTGTGTTATTAATTAAACAGGAGATAAAAAGTTAATCAGTATAGTAACCAATAGGCTCTCTGCATTTGATATCCCTAATCAAGGAGGGCATCAGGGAAAGGAGGGATGAGACGATTCACCAAATATGGCGATCTGGGCCAGAACACACCAAGCACTTTGGTGCAATAACATTAAACCCATCTTAGACAGTGAGGTATATCATTGGTCAGGAGAACATTATTTAATAAAAAAAATTATTAGAAAATTGAAAGATGAAATGCCCATACATAGCATCCCCAACCCTAGTCAGGTCCCTGATTGTACCTTCACCCCTCCTCTATGCACAAAGGGTACTAAGTTGGTCAGGTCCCAGACGTCTGTTTCAGGTTGACTTGCTGATTCTATAGCAGGTGCTGAAAGTTCTAAAGAACTAAGAAAGGCAGGTGCCTCTGTATTCGAAAATATTTTGTGAACAGTCCCATTATGAGTCACCACCAGTGACCTTGCTGCCATTTTCCGATACTCCACCACAGCTATCTGCAGTTGGTGTGTTACAAAGCTGAGAGATTGTTGCCACTGTAGAGAGGACCTTGTTAGGTATCGATAAAAAAAGATTGGGGGGATTCCTCGAAGGAGTAAGGTGTTTTGCCTTGCAGTGCTGACATGATATGTCTCTTGTCATGTGAAAATGAACAGTGGATAATAGCATTCCGCACAGCAGAAGGTGGTGCCCTGGGTGACTTAGCTAAATGGTATATCCTATCGATAGCCACCATCTTAGCCAACTTGAAGGTAGTATTGCTGCACCAAAGCACCTAATGCAATGTGAAAGCTCCTTCACACTGATGGTGTCTGAAATGCCTCTGGTTTTGAGATGATTTCGCCTAGATCTGCTGTCCATAACCATCATTGCAATAACATATTGTGGTTAGCCTGAACATTCTGAAAGTCCATCATACAAGACATACTGTGTTGCAGGTCAATAATATCCTCCTTTGAGGCCCATAACCCTATCTGTGACTGCTTGCACATAAACTTTAAATACTGCAACATCTGCCGCCAGCAGGTTCTGTATATCCAGCAGTAAGTTCTGGATGTCATGTTTGGAGGCTGCTCATGCAAGGCACCCACGGCGAGGGCTGTGGGGGTGTATTACAGTGCGAGTGGACTCCAATGTCTCATCTTGGTGGACGTGCTGACTTAGGATCACTGCCCCATAACTGAGACTCCTTCAGCTGTTTTAGATATGGATGCAGTGTCCAATTCATTCTATCCTATCTGACAAGGAACCGCCCCAGATCTGCATTTTTTTTTTTTTTTTTTTTACTTACGCCTGTGTGATAATGGCATGAACTCCCGGAGGCGAGTACAGGCTTAGTCTCGGTTGGTTGGGCTTGTGATATTTAGAGAGTTTACCAATTTCTGCCAAAGCTGTGGAATATGGCGTCCACTCCGTCTCGATGACAAATACCACCCCCACTGAATATCCTTTTAATTCAAAAACTTGTCCAACCGGCATTTCAAGGCATAAGAGGAGGAAAAAACAGGAGTTGTAATCTTCCTGCTCTTCTTGCTCTGCTCCTTCACTCTTGCTGCTGTGATGCTAGGATATGATGTCACCCAGCCCCGGCATCACTAAACGTTGTGCAGAGCTTGAAGATTACAGTATCATAGCAGCTTGACTAGAACCCAGGGAAAGGATCCACTCCATCTCTCCCAAAGGTAGGGAGGCTGGGTAATGTAAATTAAATTAACACAAATAATTTGTGTGTGTGAGAAAAGGTTTGTGTATACTCAGTGAGTATATGTGTGCTTGTGAGTGTCTCTCTGTCAGTGTGTGTCAAATCAGTGAGTATGTGTGGGTAACCTTGACAACATTTATTGGCTTAGAGTGCTGAGCTAACCTGCTCTCAGTGTTCTCAGACAAATAATGTGAGCCAGGTTGGACATTAAAACTGGAAGCGTTAATTTATGAATGTCGAGAAAAGCACAGATTTGTCAAACCCAATTAAAATGGTTTAATATTAAACCAGAAGCTAGCTAGCATATGTTGGGGCTTGCCACATCCACAGAGATGGGGAGGCCCCTGAGGGGGGAATCACACTATGATCCGTCTACTGGGACAAAGAGGTTAAAAGAACACTCTAGGCACTACCACCTGTCATCTCTTTGAATTGGTAATCGTGCCTGAAGTCCCCTGGCGCTGTCCCACCATTTACTGTTAAATCATTTTTGAGCGGTTTAACACTGAGTAAGGGTCTTCAGCTGCCCACTGTATGGCTAAAGCAGAGAGAGTTGTTAGTATGGATGTTAGGACATTCTCACGTATACTAAAAGGGGTTTCAACTGCACTGTAATAGTTATGTTGTCTCTCCAATGTCAAAAAGTCAAATAATTTGCTAATGGTTTCACTTCTTACCTGGGGTCTATCGAACGCCCTTCCTGTCTTTCTTCCACTGGAAGCTCTTGATAGCAGTGTAACTGAGAATGTCGCCTTAAGCAAAGCCATGCCATCCTGGTTTACCAAATAAAACTAGATATTTATTAAATAATTCAAAGCGAATTTTAAATTATAGTCACCTAAATTACTTTAGCTAAATAAAGCAGTTTTAGTGTATAGATTATTCCCCTGCAATTTCACTGCTCAATTCACTGTCATTTAGGAGTTAAGTCACTTTGTTTCTGTTTATGCAGCCCTAGCCACACCTCCCCTGGCTATGATTGATTTAACTCATATATGGCAGAGGATTGAGCAGTGAGGCTGCAGGGGCATGTTCTATATACCAAAACTGCTTCATTAAGCTAAAGTTGTTCAGGTGACTATAGTGTCCCTTTAAGCTTTGCCAGCATTATGGCTGTAAGAACATCAAGGGAGACGTGGTCTTTTTAACTTATTTCCTCTGTATCTTCACTCTCCTCTTCCTTTGAGGTTCATGCCACCTGCCTTTTCCACCCATTCATATTACACGTTGCATTTATCTACTGCCCTCCTGGAAACTCTGAGCTTGTCCAGAACACTTCTCAGCATGGATTCCACACATCCTTTCCTTTCACATTCCCTTTGTTATCCTTGGAGACTTTAACATTGCTATAGATGTGCTTACTACCTCTGAAATGTCTACATTTCTATGACCGCCCTGAGAGTCAAGCAGCAGTCAGATTCCTTTACCAATCAGGCTGGCAATACCCTAGTCTAAACTTTATCTTTTCCAATCTTTTTCTATCACTAACTTCATTAACACACCCCTCCCCCTCTGTGAACACCACTCCTAAGCTGCTGTTTTATCCTGCCACGTGCCAAATCATGTGCGACTCTGCAGAAACTTAAAATCCCTTCTATCGATATCCAATCTATACTCTCATCGATCTTGACTACCACATGCCATTCTATGGCAACTTGCCTTTATACCACTACTTGCCCTAGTACCCTAAATGTCCACTCACTGCTCACCTTGGCCATCAAACTAAACTGGGGTATGAAATCCACCCAATACCTCTAAAGTTGCTTAGTGACATAACTCTTTGCTGGTTCTCTTCCTACTTCTGTGACCAATCATTCAGTGTCTCCTTTCTAGTTACTCATTCCCTTGTGTACATCTTTGATTGGAGTTCCTCAAGGCTCTGTACTGTAACCTCTTTTCTCAATTAGGCTGCCTTTCTTAGTGAGCTAATATAATCTTTTGACTTTCAATATCACTTGTATGCTGTTGATATCTAGATCTACCTCTCATTGTAGATGTTGCCCAAGTCATCCCCAACGTAGCTGAAAGTTGCTTACACCTCCTCTACATCCTTCTCCCTTGCTTCTATACTCACCGCTTCTTGCCACCAAACCTATTTTCTAGCCCCTACTGCTTAGTGACACAACTCTTTCCTGGTTGACTTCTTACGTCTGTGACCAATCATTTATTATGTCCTTTTCTGGTTCCTCCTCCACTTCTGTACCTCCTCGATTGGAGTTCATCAAGGCTCTGTACTGGGACCTCTTTTCTCAATAAGATTGCATTTCTCAGTGATCTAATATAATCCTATGACTTTCAGTAACTTGTATGCTGTTGATACCTAGATCTACCACTCCTCGCATGATATTTCTCCCAGTCTGCTGGATTGTGTCACTGACTGCCTATCCTGTGTCTCTGACTAGATGGCTTCATGATTCAGAAAACACAACCTCTCCAAGATCAAACTCTTTGTCTTTCCTCGTTCGAAAGCTACATCTGTCCATTTCCCTTCAAGTTAATGGAGCAATCATAACCTCTACATCACAAGCATGTTGTCTTGGTTAGCTCTTTGACTCTGACCTTTCCTTCACCCCTTACATCAAATCAATTACCAAAACCTGTCTCTTTCACCTTAAAAACATTTCTCACATTCACCCCTTTCTCCCTCAGAATGCCACTAAAATGCTCTTCCATGCTCTTGTTGTTTCCAGTCTTGATTATTTTAACTCTCTACTTATTTTCATGATTAGTGCACAGATGGCCCGTCTACAATATAAGATGAACGATCCTGCTAGATTCATCTACCTTACGTTCCACAAATCTCAAACCTTACTCTGGTTTCATTTAGGATTCTGTTCAAAGCGCTCATTCTTACCTACAAGGCTCTACATAACTGTGCAGCTGCTTGCATATCCTTCTTTGTTAGCAAATATGCCCCAGTCCTGCCTCTTCCTTCGATCAAAGACCTGTTACTCGTACACCCCAAACTCTTGCCAAGGATGTTCCTTCCTTATGTAAAATGTTGAAACCAAAATTAGAGATGTTATCACTTTAAATTTTTAATTTGTTTTCAAGCAGATATTTATACCAATCCTTCCACTTCACATCAATATTTTATATATTCTTAAAAGGACACAAAAATCACAAATAGTGCAGAAAGATTCTTAAACAGATATGTTCAACAACCCCTTCTCAAACCCCTATGGATGGCACTCACATATACAAGAGACACTTCTGCATGGCTGAGTCAAACAGCACAGTTATAGGAGGGGGTTACCCCCTCGGAGAATATTTCACAAAAACACTGGATATAGCAGCAATTCACATGAATGAGAAAAATGCCAAGGAGGCTCCAATAATGTAAAAACATTCACAGATTTATTATTGCACACTGTTTTAGGAACTCTTGAAAAATGTGAGCTCTCAAATAAGGAAACTCACAAAAAATGTTTTTTTTTTACAAAAGTCCTGTTTTTCTCCCAGCCTGTTTATCCTGTGTACTGAAGTGCTACGGTCATGTGAATCATATGGACCTGCCTCCTTTAGCTCAAAAAATAGAGATTATATAATTTTAGGGACCAGAGCTTTGATCGCAATGGTGGTTCTAAGAACCACTTCTGTGGATCATAAAGATAGATCTAGGCCAGGAGAAGCCAGTGCTCAGCACTTGATATGTTACGGACTACGTCTTCCAAAATGCTCTTACAGTCATAATGCTGGTAAAGCATCGGGGCATATGTAGTTCATAACATCTGCATTAACAAAAGTTCCCTATCCCTGTTACATAGATGTCACTCATGTAGGTCACAAAAAACAGACAAACTGAAATCTCCAATTGTACGTCTAATGGGTATATGTTTGCCGCAACCTTTCAGAAACCGTCATCATCTTTAACTACATGCAATGAATCGTCTATTAATTTGGTATTAGACACTATTGAAACACACTGACATATGGATTGGCTAAAAACAAACATCAAGCAAGCAGTTGTCTTTACCCAGTCTAAAACAACAACCAAGATGTGTGATTATAGAGATTTACCAAGACTCCTGACCTGATGTTAAAAGAAATGATGCAATCTGGGAAATAAAATCTCTCCAAAAAACCCACTCCCTTCCCTTGGGAGTTTAAAGAAGCAGAGCTGTAAATATGGTGCAGTTTATGCAACACAAATAGGAACCACATTTAGTAATGCAAAGAAACCTGGGCAGTATCCTAAACAACCCTAAATCACTCAATCCGCCAACATTCCAAATGCCACAACTTAATGCAGGGGCCAGCGTCCTTTAAAAGCCCTGCAGACATACACACTGCTGTAGTTTCCTTTTAAGGACCTTGGAGAAAAAAATGCATGAGACATTTAGGAAGCAAAGCATACACTTAGATATTAAATATACCTTGGCTGGTATGGCTGCATTTAAAATCCCACTTGGAATCTACAGAAAAAGATGCTATATTGTTAAGATCTGGACATACTCACACTAGATATGTTCACTCTATTTATTTACAAAACACAGAATTAAAGTAAAAATTAAATAAAAAGAGAATTTCTAAACTTAGAAGAAACATCAAAGTCGCAGGAAATCACTACCTCTTGCTTAAATTTTAAGTCTTTTTTTTTTTAATTCACTGCAACTGTGTTTGGACATCAGCACATGGCTCCATACATACTAACCGTTATAATCATCTAATCTGTGCCCATTCTCTAACTTCTCCATTATCAGCTGCTTGGAGGGTGGGGGATAAAAAAGTGAGTTTTCAATGAATTTTTGAATGAGTGGAGACTGGGTGAAATTCTTACGGGGAAGGGAGTTCCACAGAAGAGGTGTAGCCCAGGAAAATCTTGGAGGCGAGCTTTAGAGGTGAGAGTACGGAGAGAAGATATACGTAGGTCTTTGGCAGAGCATAGGGGCCTTGACGGGACATACTTGTGTATTAGGGAGGAAAGGTAGGTTGGAGCAGCATTATGTAGGGACTTGTAAGCAAGCACCAGAATTTTAAATTGAGCCCTATATCTAACTGGAAGCCAATGCAGGGACTGACAGAGCGGGGAAGCGTGGGAGGTGCGAGCGGACAGGAAAATGAGCCTCGCCGCCGCATTCATTATAGATTGCAATGGTGCAATCTGAGAACACGTAAGACCACTGAGAAGAGTATTGCAGTAGTCCAGGCGAGAGAGAACAAGAGCATGGACAAGCACCTTAGCCGCATCCGGGGTTAAATAGGGGTGGGTGCGCGCTATGTTTTTGAGATGGAAGCGACAGGATTTGGCGATTGATTGGACATGAGGGATGAAGGAGAGGTTGGAGTCAAAAAGAAAACACAGGCAGCGAGCCTGCAAGGTAGAGGTGATGGTAGCGCCGTTGACTTGGAGGGAGACAGAAACAGGAGTAGTAACACTTGAGGGAGGAAAGACCAGAAGTTCTGTTTTGGACAGGTTGAGTTTATATATATATATATATATATATACATACACACACACCGGAGTCAAGTCCTGGGGAATAAAATATATATATATATATATGCATGTGCGCACACACACACTGACAGGTGCACACACACATAGACTCACAAATTATTATTTTTTTTTTAAATTAAAAAATGTCCACCCAGCCTCCTTACCTGGAGAGCTGGCGTGGCCCTCTCCCTGGGGTCCAGTGGGGCGGCGAGGGAGCTGTGTTCTCTCTGCTCCCTCTCGCCGCGTGGGCTGCATACTGATGCAGGTAGTCCGAATATGACATCAGTTATATGATTTAGGGAATTTCTCCTTCCAAATGTATTTTATTTTCTTATGTCACTCCCTGTGATGCCATGTATGTATAATTAATTATGCAAATTAGCATTAATCTGCAATATATTAAATTAAAAGAAAAATCTCTTTTGATGGAGATCAGCGGTAGCCTCAAGAATCATTTTTTTTTTTTTTATTCTTTATTTTTGGAGTGCTTGGAAGTATAACAATTTATCTCGTCATGCCCCAACAGCATTGACAAGTATATGGAAAAACATTTAACAATAGTTGGTCAGCATGTGAAAAAACAGCACAATTTTTAAAAGCAACATGTTCAGATTAAGTGTTCCTGTTTTAAAGCGATCAGTGCGTAATATGCTTGTCTGGTGGGAACACTTCTAGACATATAGAATATATCTATCCTGGTATTATAAGAACAAGATGATCTGTAGATTAGACTAAGATGTCTAGCTACAGGAGTAGACAGCGGTGAATCTTAATAGTAGCTGTTACAGTGGGATAAACTCGATATGTACATTATTTATTATCTATTGATAATCTGTGCGGTCAGGTAGACAGCAATATATCAAATGGTACAAAGAAGCATGGAGAGTGTGCAAAGAAGAAAGTAATACATGGTAAAGGCATATTTCTCAAGGCTTTGTGTTTAGCATGCAAAACTCAGAAATTTGTTGTTCTGGGTGTTAGGCAGAGAATGTGTCCATGTATCATGTCAAAGTTAGAGTAGAGGTATGAATGGGACCAAAAAAGAAAGCATAGTTGTAACGAGAGTCCTCCCGGTTAAACAGGGTCTGTATTGTCGTCCGTGCATTGCTGGGACATGCCAAAAGACCGTCCGCAGCTTCTCAACCGTTCATCCAATGCCTAGTCTGTGGGGAGGTCGTTGTTTGCTCTGCAATGGGTAGGTGTCTTGCGGGTCTGTACCTTTCTTGAGGGTGTGAGGCTGTACTGCGCCTGAGTGCCTCGTGGTGCTCATGCACATAGGTCTGCCATCTTGTGCGGTTGTGGGTGTTAAGAGTCCCGTTAGCTTGGCCCTTGTCTGTGCTATTCGCTGCCATGTGCTTTCCCCCGGGTTTTGCAAGTCTCCATGGGTAGACAGGCGTATGTATTTTCAACTTTCGTAGCTTTTTGCGGGGGCGCCGCAGGTTTATCTGGGTGCTTGGTGGTTTTGGGCGCTTGGCAGGGCTGTGCAGGTAGGTCTGTGAGTTCTCAGGTTCGGCTGTACGTTGGACGGGTTGCGGTGTGACCATCTGCCGTGCTGCCAATTGTGCCCAAAATTTGTCAAATATCAGATTCAACCGTGCTTGAGAGGCTGCTAGGTAGGCCTCGGTTGTGAAGTTGCTTGTGCGCTCTGCCATCTTGGATTCTGCTCTGCAGTGTAGCCCAAGAGGTATCGAGTATAGTCGTGGAGGGCCTCCTGGGACCGGGATAACCCCCCCCGGTCAAAAAAGTAGGGAGGGCGGATGCAGGTGTCCGCTTTTATTAATGGGATTCAGCATCAGCGCTTGAGAGCGGCCGTCTCTCCGACGCCTGAGAAGCTTGTAGGCCGCAGTGGGTTAAATGCTGGTAATCCGGGTCTGCAGGGTTCAGAGTTTGGTGTCGTTTGGATCACCGAGATCCCCTCTGTTCAGCCTGTGAATTTTGCGGTAAAATCCGCTGCTTAGCTGCCGCTATTCGTGATTTTCGTTGATTTGGCCCAGGAGCTCATTCAACGTGTGTCTGCTCAGTTAGCCTGTCAGGCCCTGCACCCCCTCAAGAATCATTTTCATAGAAAAGAATTAGATACAGATACACATTCTCTACAAACATAGGACGATAGTTACATGTCCCATTTAGAGAGATACTTTATAACATTCTTGTAAAGTGAATTAGAAAATGTATAGAATAACATGGTGCATACACGAGGGGCCATTAGAATAAACAATCCCATTCCCAATCTTTTAATTATAGCATTTAGGTTCTCCAAGACAAAAAACAATATTATATAAATGAAAATGACAATTATGAAAATAAATGCTTATGACTAGAGGTAATTCTGCATTTTTTTTTATAGTAGGCTGCACATATGGGGATTAAGCCCGTTACTGTTGGATGTGTAACTCCAGCTAGGGCAGCATCAGTGGGGTGTCATTAATCAGCCCAGAACAAGACCTCCTGGTGTCTAATATGAATTCTATGCAAGTTTGGGGTGCATGGTGGAAGCTTGGCCTTGAAACTGATAAACGATTTAAATGTTTTATGTTTTAATTTTCTGGGGGTGGGATACTCTGACTTAAGCCACTGTGTTTTGGTTAGAATAACCCATAACATCTCTAGTTCACTAAGCCAGGACTACTTGATAATTTATAGCTTAACTACAAATGTTAAACTAATATAGCAGTATTGGAAAACACGTCTCCAAAACCAGCTACTATTATGATATTTAGTTCTAAATGTTGTAATTCCCTTGTCACATCTGCACAATTCTGGGTTCAGTAAATAACCATGTAAACACACAATAAAAAAAACAAAAAAAAACCATACAAAACGTACATATTCATTAGCACTATACCACCACCATTTGGAGAAAGTGGGCATTTTAAATCCACGACAAAAAGAATCAGATACATTTCAAGATTTTAATGCCCCAAGTCTGGGGAAATGTAAGATGCACAGACACAGGAAAAGGTACAAATAACATGAACAGACAGGGATCAGCACAATTGGGTTGTAGTCAGAGTCCCAAGAAGGTTGAAAGGCTTTACCCAAATAACAAAAAAGGAAAGAACTCTCCTTCCCATATTCAGATTTCCCCTTACAGGTTAAACCTACATAAGACATCTGACTACCAAACCTCCCTCCAAGCTGTGGTTCGAAATGTTAAAAGGGATTTTTATTCTTACATGACATATTATTGGGAGAAATACATTTTGTAGGGCTCTTCCCGTTTGACAAAACAAGAGCACTTATTGGTGGGATATTCCTCATTGAAGTATCTAAAGCTACATTGGCACTTTCTTGATTTCAGACCATTTTTTGGCATTTACCTGTGTGGGAGTACTCTATCTGTATACCTGGGAACAATTGCAAAAAAACTTACATGTTGGAACTGAGTAACAGAAGCAATTAGAGGGAAAATAGTATATGTTTAATGGCAGTGGTTAACAAAAATGGAAAACTGCCAGGCAAAAATAAGATTTGCATTGTGTATTCTGGATGAATCATTTAAGAGACTCTTTGTAAAAATGATATTATAAAGGTATATCAGTCATACGTATTATTATATTTTTTAAATGGGAACGATGATCTTTATTTTTGCCATCTTACACACTCAAGCCTGGGCTGATACTATTGATCCACGGGTTGTACTCAGTCTGCATAAAATAACTTTAAAACAATGTGGATCATGTATGAAGAGCAATTGCACTTGCAAATTGTAGTGCAACTATCACCACGGAAACCCATTACAATAAGTGCAGCTATCGCCATGGTAACCCATTACAATATTTCTGCTGATAGCTTCACATACGAATGTTGCTTCAAAAATGGCTCACCACCACGTCTACCAAAAAGTGCTGCAGACCTAAGCTGTTTTGGCTACCACCATGTTCAGATGAAGCATCTCTAAGTAAGTTAAAGAAACCGAATTATTGTATTCTGCAGAAAGAGCCTTGCAAAATATATTATATACACATATTTATATCTTCATAATAAATGTAACTTCCCCTTTAAAAGAATTTGCAGAAAAGAATTGTATCCAGCCTCTTTTCTTTAAAGTGCGCTCTGAACCTCTGATCTCCCTTCCCTGCCTAAAAATATTTAAAATACAATGATTCAAAATAAAACATAAAAAAAAGCTTATATAGTTAAAATAATAAAAAATATATATATATTTCACTAATGGATCAAATAGTGCACTACAGTGTGAAATACAAATTCCCAATTGCCATCCTTCAGCAGGGATATAAATTTCTTATCCTCTCCTCTCACAGGCTACCCATTTGCTCATTTGATAAGAAAATGTAGTACTCTATCTTCATACAGTGACGCACTCTTTTCATTTGTACCCCTCATGTAGTAACTAAAAGGACACGTGCATATTTCCACATTTAAAACACCAGAATATAATGTTAATCCCAGTGGAAATATGGTGTGTACTGTTTGGGAGGGAGAAAGTACTTTCAGTTGCAATGGAAGTGAAAAAAAAGAACCTGGAAAAAAAGTATTCGGATTCCACTTTGAAAACGCACATGAAATACAAACATTTGTAAATACCACGTATGTAATATGCTGCCTACTTTACAACCCATGACCTTTAACCTTTGTTGTCACCAGGGCCTGCCATCCAATCCATCCTTGTAGAACTAGTGACTGGCCCATATGGCAGATATGCTGTTAGGCTTTAACTAAACAGAACAGTAGCATAAAAAAAACCCTCAGAAGAAACATTTTTTTCAGATGTCGTGGGAAGCTCCGTCTCTGAAGACCAATCATTGCAAGTAATGAAGAAAATTATCTTCTTGAAGAAAGATAGTAGGAGAAGTAAAATCATAACCAATCCTGACATATCCTCATGAATCAAGTCCATCGTTACCAAGTGACAACTTGCTCGCTTACCACAGGATACATTATTGCAGATACACAAACAGTCCACGTTCGCACTGCCGTATTATTCCTGGACCACGTTAGCAAAGTTGGATTTACTAAGGGACTATCGCTGTTCCCTTATACCTTTCTCATTCAGCATATTCTTATGTACACCTGAACAAATACCCTTACGGCGCAGGTCAGAAAACATCTAGAAAATGAATGGTGTCCATGATACACAAGAATCTTGGCTTCTATGGGGAGATTAGGCATGTTCTCAGCTTGTGCATGTTGCTGGGACAGAGACGAGGAGTTGGAAGCCAAATAGAAGTGGTAGAATGCAAGTCCTGTAACCACTTCCCCCTTTCGCCAACCCCACATACTGAAACATCCTGTTACTATGGTTGGGCAGGGGTAACTGAGTTTCCAATATTTTCTGGAGGCAGAGTTCCAGTATCTGTAACAAAAAAAGAAAAGAGGAAAAGCAGAACGTGTAAATTGATGCTCAATAATAAACGATAGATTTTGCAAGATTTCCCTTTATTAGAAATGAGCACGTGCAATATAAACTATTACTAAACTAAAATTATGTTAGTAAAGTAATCTAGGAAGTTGGTAAAGAAAATGGGACAATAGAGATCTGGTAAAAAGGCTGGGGATTATAATATAGAAAGGAAATTACAGGATCGTGTATGCACAAAAAAGTATGAAACAAAACAAAAACATGAATGCGGTGGAAGGAAAACAAGAAACATACTTTAAAAAAAAAAAAAAAAAAAGGAATTCATAAGTAAAAATAATAAATATTGTGACAGATTTTCTTAAATCTCATAAAATGACATAGCATAAAAATAAAAGACAGTGTAACCAGTATAACAGACGAAGTATCATGGGGACATCAAATTGCCACTCACATTGTGCAGAGCCCAAGTTCAGCTCTATTGGATCTGCTAGGAAAAATATAGCATCTTCTCAAACTAACTATTTATAAAAGGCAAGCAGCATATGCTATGTTATTCTAACAGCTGTAATAGTGGTGTTGAAAATGAGTAGCAATCTTCCTTAGTGATAGTCAGTGTAAAATAATAGCTGCAGTTCTTGTATGTACAAATCACAACAAAGGTCATAAAGTGTACTCCTAAAGGCACAAATATTATTATAATTTTTGGGGGGTATTTTTGCAGCGCTTTACAATATTAGAAAAGGGGTAAATTTAACAATAAATGAGACAATTACCAAATGTTACAGGAACAATAGGTTGATTAAGACCATACTCAAACAAGCTTAAAAAACAGCCAGTTGAACTCCCAAGTTCTTTGTAGTCTTCTAACTTGGTTGTCACTAGAGCACAACAGTATGTACCGCTCTATGATATTTCACCTGTGTTTTCTATATACATTTGCGATTTACAGCTTTTCCTCTTCCACTGTTGCATTAACAAACAAAGATTAATCTTTTCAACCAATTAAGCCATCATGGAGTTTAGAAAATCATATATTTATTAATTATAAAGAGAGGGAAATGGAACCATCCCAAATTTGGATATTCTCTTCACGGATTCAACAAAAGCAAGCTCAGGTTATGTACACTATGAGTTGATTTCTCATTATCTGACACCTTTTTTAATGTTCTATTTTCAATAGACCATTGTGAGATTTAATATTTCACCAGTTTTCCAAAATAAGTACCACACCAGCACAGTGTAGTAGTGGGGTGCACACCTGCCGAGTCTCAGGTACACATTGTGGTGGTTCCATCAATGTTAATTCTGTCAAGGCGAGGATTATCAGAATGCCAAAGTAGTTCAGGGAAAGGCTTGCATTTACCACCAAATAAGAGCATGTCTGCAAACAAGCCATCGTTGGGTCTGTATTCCAGGAATACTATACATAGATTGAATCCTTTACTCTATACTCAGTATATTTGTTTTTCCATCATATATGTGCAATGTTTTTTAATAACTGCCAAGTGATTTCCTACTTAAAGTTACTAATCAATGCAAATGTAGCACTTGCAATAATTTCCTTGATTTTTTTGGATACAAAAAATGAGAACTGTCTGTGAGAGCAGAGGGGAGGAAGAGGAGGCAGTGCATACAAGGAAACAGCACATGTTTATATGTTGACTCCAAATCATTTCAGCCAGAAACCAACCAAACACGGTAATAATAGGAGACAGAAGGAAAGACTTTGAAGGAAGGAGAGGGGGGAGGATAGGGGCTGGAGAAAGGGATGATAGTTACAAGGGAGACAAAGTTTGTGCTTATAGCTCCCCCGTGTGACATAATAGAAAACGCCAGGCATATCCTTTGTTTAAGCATCTGGATTAAAGCAACTCTGTTATGTTAATAATCAGAATTTAAACAATTGTTTGAATATAAACATCTAACAGTCCCAGATTATAAAGATAGCTCCTAAACTGCTATAACATTTTTTTATTTTATAAATCAAGGCTACTAATTTTTTCTCACTACGACTAAGGGTGGTTTCTATATGCTAATTAATTGTACTTTAACCGTTTATTTTGAAACCTTTTTTTAGATTGAAATTACAAAAGGTGACAACCATCATTTATGGGCTGATGTACTTTGATTAGAAAGGTACTATGAAGGTTTATTCGCTAAAAAGTAAAAACACAGCAACATTGGAAAATGTCAGACCAAAACAGCAAATTTGTGAAAGTGGGAGAATCTTTCCAATTAAGCCACTTCAGATTAATTGTTAGCTTTTTTTTTTTTTTTTAATTAGTACATTTAATTGATTTAAGTGTATAAATATAGCTGATAATGCTGGTCTTTCTTTTTTATGTGTGTGTGCTACTTTATTTAAGAAATGGCATGGATAATTTTTTTTACTAGTTTCTAATTAAAATAAACAATCAGCATTATCAATGCACTGGAGTTGTCAAATTTGTTACAAAGTCCACCAATCCCAGCAACTGTGTAAGTCTGGCACAATTGTGTTGGGTAGAGTACATCATCCTACAACAATGAAACAGGAATTGATGTAAAGTAGTAAAAATTCTGAAGGAAAGCCTGCATTTACAGTGTTAAAGTGGCTGACACCAAACACTTTACCTAATTTGCTTCTGTACAGCTCCCTGTGTTGGAATCTCTTTTTTCATAAAATACATAGGGAAAAAGGGATTACTTGTCCTTATGTACAACAGGAGGAGTTTAAGGTTCTTTCTAAGTTGCCAATCAAATATATCCTCAAGGTATCAGTAAAGTAAAAAAATATTAAAGGGCAAACAGTAGACAACTTTGGCAGAACAAAATGGCTGCACCCAGATATTAAGATCCAGCACACAAAAAACAAAAACAAAAAAACAAATAGAGGCAAGAAACAACGGACGGGGTGGTGTAATCGTTAACAAAAAAAAACTAAACAAAAAAACATGACAAGATTGCTTTAAATAACTTCAAGTATAAAAAATTCTGCATCACTGGTTCAAGAACATGTAGTATTATACTGAAGTATTTTTAGTGCTTGGAAATTTATTTAAAACAAATCCTTTATTTAATTATTTACTGTAAGACAGAAGTATCCTCTGAACCACAACATTTGCAGTTACAGAAATCTCTCTAGGCCCGTAGTGCACATAGCATTTAAAAAAATAAATAAAAAAAGATTTAGGGGCGTTACAAACTATAATGTAAACTAAATGTCTTACATTTTTAAATAACCATCAAAGTGAAAAAGCACGTAGTCTTTACCATATACAGAATTTAATTTATGTCTGTTCATGCATTCCCTTGTTAAACCATTGACCCGTCCCCTTCACCTTGTGATGAGCTCACCTGGCACTGGACTGGTGGTGATGGCAGCCCCTCCCTGCATTGCGGCTACGATGGCAGGGCTGTGAGTGGCAGCTGAACTCAGGGAGGACGGCAAGTTAGGAGGCGTTGAGGACACAGCAATGGCAGGGTTATGAGGGGGTGGAGGAGGCCCACTGACCCGACATGCTGCAGGGGGGAATGTTCCATGCATAGGTTGGTGAGTGGTAAAGGGGTTAGTTTGCGGGTTTTGATGAATGGAGTCAACTAAGTCACTACCCAAATTAAATGGAACAGGCTGAGGCATGCTGGGGTGAGGATTACCAGGCACCGGTGGCTGGGCAGGAACTGATACTGCTGATGGGATCAGTGGGTTAGGAGGCATTTGTCCTGTATATGTACTTGAACCTACAGAAAAGAAAGTGAGACAAACGCATAAAAAACCCCACAAACACTTCATGCTAACCTAACAGCATATTTTATAAAAGAAAACTTAATTTCTCAAGAATTAAGTGATTGTTTAATACTAGTGTGAATTTCCAAACCCACTGATGCAATGTTAGGTAACATATTCTTCTACAGACACTACATACCAATGTAAACATGATGCATCATCTAGATCAGTACCTAGTTGTAAATATATACAAATATGCCTCTTGGGTGGAATTTGCCATGGCTGAAATTAAAATCTATTAAAACTACTAGTAAAATAAATATATATATGGTACTAGTATAAAAACTACTTTTTTGCTGCTGAAAGAAAACGCTAGTTCAACTAAATGTAATTAAAGGGACACTATAGGCACCCAGACCACTTCTTCTCATTGAAGTGTTTTGAGTGCATAGCTCCTGTCTATTTAACCCTACAATGTAAAACATATGCTAACTGCGTTTTACTCTGTGAAGCAATGTAGGACATCCTCACGCTTTGCCTGAGGACGTCTAATATCTTTAAATTCCCTATGGGAAAGAGCTAATTCAATGCTTTCCTATTGGGAAGTTTTAATGTGCAAGTGGCAAGCACCGCAAATTAGATCCCAGTAGGATGGGATGTCATAGGAGGAGGAGACCAAGCCAGTGCCAAGGTAGCCTCAGCGCTGAAATTAATGTGAGTAAAAATAGGGTTTTTAACCCTTTGCATGTTGGGACAGTGGGGGTGTGAAACCTAATACGTTAGGTAAAGTAACACTACAGCATTAGAAATACACTCCGAGCACTATAACCACTACAACACACTGTAGTTGGTGATTTGACACCCCACATGCCCATAAAGGAGGGGACTGGCACTGGACGGGCCTGGACCGCTGGTAAGTTGGCAAACCATTAGCAAAACAGTTTGACTCCTTACATTGGCAGGCACCAGGGTTCTCCTGGTACCATAATCACTACAGCTGTAGTGGTTATGTTGCTTGACATGTTCCTACAAAGTAATGTAAAGCAACATTAAATTAACAATAGAATCAATGATAACCACCATTCCAGATAACAGTGAATTCTAAGCAGTCAGGTTTGTTTACAGTGTTCCACGCCATTGCCTTTCTTCTAGACTTTGTTTGTTGCATTTTCCAGACAGATGAAGCTGAGAAGCTGATTGTATTACATGTATGCATGGCTCACAAATTAATGCATGCATCATTTATAGAAGTGGAATAAATAATTCAATGTTCATTAGCTGAAGGACAAAATCTTGGCAGAAGAATGAATTGTACAAGAGAAGAATAGTCATCAGTGACCAAAGACTTCCAAAGCAGTAATAAACATTGGCCAAGAAGTCTTCAAATTCCTTTCCTTGGCATGGGAAAATCTAACGATTAAAATATTTAATCAACAAATTATTTGAAAACACATTTGGAATTTTCAGTAACACAAGACTCACACAAATGACAAAAGGTTAGTTGTAGATAAAATGTAAACCATTCTATATGTATGAAGCTTTCTTTGACTCTTTGAATAGAAATGCCTGTCTTCTAATTATTCTACCCTTTACTCTTTTACCCATTTATGGTTTGCAATGGACTCACCATGTGCCGGGCTTGGCTGTGTTGCTCCCTGTTGTTGACTGTTTACTGGTGGCTGTGCAGAGGGTGGCGTGGGTTGACCAAGTGCTTCCGTACTGCTGGTGGCGCTTACTGGAGCTGGCGTCAGAGACTGCTGTGGCACTGGGATGGAATGAGCAGCGGGTGGTACAGGTTGACTTCCTGGAGGAGTCTGGTGCTGCTGCTGGTGTTGATTTTGAATGTGTTGGAAATGTTGTTGACGGGCTCTCAACTCTGCGTATTTCATCTGCTCCATGTGGAAGTTCTGCCGATCAGCCAAAAGCTGCTGCCGCTGGTACTCCAGCTAGAAAAAAAAAAAAAGCGACCACATTGATTTTAGCATTACAGGTACCTTACAGGTATACTTCAACACATTTTACAACACACACTCACCGCCTCCCTCTCTCTGTCCATGATGGTTTCCAACTCTTCAAAGTGTCTAAGTTTGATTTCTAACTTCTTCATCTGAGTTTCCACCAGAAGAGCTACGAGGGACTTTATCTTGCGCTCCTCCACTGCAGCAAGATGCTAGAGAGGAACATACAACCACTTAAGTAATAACAAGAACTATAGATACAGATTAATGATGTTGGTTGCTTTATTCATTTATTTACATTCCTAACAATCAAAAGTGACAGTATTTTCTGATTGACCTCAGCAACACTAGATCCAGTATTACACTACTTTTATCATACTACTTGCTATTGCAATGGGCCTATATTTCACAGAAGACACAAATTGTGAAGAAATACAACACAGCCTCACATACATATAAAGTACATTTTTATACTCAAAATATATTAGAGGTTAATGAGATATATGAGAACTATTCGGCAAAATATAATGAGAAACTTTTTCACCTTTGCTTTAACTGCTGCAGCAGCCAAGGCGGCAGCAGCAGCCGTAGACAAATTGCCCTCTCCAATATCTCTTTCCACCTTATTCTTCCCATCAATTTCTTCCTTATCAGTCTCCTCAGATGCTTCTTTATTATCCTGGACCTTTTCACCATCACCTGTGATATAATAATATAATACATAAGGAGTCATGTACAAAGTCCTGTTGTAGGCAAATGTCTAAAATGAGACTCAGACAGCATGGAAATCAGGGGTAGTACTAAAAGATGATTAGTATATTTTCTGAGTGTTAACAAAATAGAGTTTATAAATATATGCAAGAAACAAGTCTTACACGTAACTCATTAGAAGACACTGGTAAGGGATATTGCAAATACATATTATGCATATATATATATATATATATATATTGGATTGTGTCTTTTTTTTGCCTTTGTATACAAGACTGCTGATAGGTCTCTTTATACCAGTAAGCTAGTTAATTAGTGCATCAGGAGAAGCCCATGGGAATACAGTAGTCCTTGGGTCTGCCACTTTACTCACTCACTTACCAACCTGTAGTTAGACAAGGATAAACATCAAGCCTGGTAATAAGTACAGTTTTGGGATGTCTGTAATTTGCAGATTTTATTAGTATTTTAATATCCAATGTAGTTGTTACAAATTCCACTAACCTAGTAACAGAATCGTGGACCGAATGTTGGTCAACTTTTCTTTAAAAACGTATCAACTACCGAGTTCTACATACCACTGTTAGCGGAAGAAGACCAGTAGTCTATCTGGTATGTGCTGATGATGCAACAGAAATTTTGACATACACAAATTTAAACCTTCACCAATTATCCAGTTCAGACTGGGAGTTAATAGGCTAAAAAGCTCTATTCATTCATAGCTGGACTATGTGCACTACCAAAGAAGACAAATACATTTGCATATTTAGTGACCCCAGACTGACTGATGGGCTGTATGCAGGGCTTTTTCTCTTTTCCATTGTATTCATACGAGTAGGATATTAGAAAGCTCTTTTTGTCCTTAACCACTTAAAGACCACATGTCTGTCTATGTCGTCACGCAGGGCAGGGCTTTAATGCCCAGTAATGGCATAGACCATCATGCAGTAAAAGTACCAGTAGGGGTTAAAATTCTGCTACTACCAAGGAACCTAATTTATCTTAATACCCAGGGTCCTCTCTTTCAGCTGGGGCCAGAATGAGTGGCCCTAGACTGACCTATGCACTGTTTGCAGAGCTCAAAGTAAACTGCAATCAGGAATTTAAATCTCCATTTTTACAATGCAGTGTGAACATGGTTAAATCCCTGCTCACACCAGTAAACCCAGCTAACAATAGATATCTAGAGCTCATCTCTGTCAGCTGAGGCCATTTTTAGAAGCCCAAGACTGACAGGTGAGCTGCATGAGAGTGAGTTCAGCACACAGTTCAATGGGGATTTAAATAGTAGTGTAAGCAGGGTTAAACCTTCTGTGAGCTGTGGCTATTTTTAGTGGACCCAGAATTTTTTTTATAAGCTGCATAGAGCCCTATAAATCCATAGAGGACACAGCAACTGGTAATCAATCTCAGCTACAGTGATTCTCTCACTGAATCTGGTGTTTGGGAGGCTCTCAGTGTCTTAATAGATTGCCTGCGATCTGCCTCATTGGCTGAGATAATCAGAATTGACAATCTCAGCCAATCCAATGCTTTCCCATAGGAAAACATTGGAAAGCTAATGCGCCCGTGTGGCAAAATAATGGAGGTATTGTACTCAGAAGATGCAGAGGAACACAATACGGGGTTTTGTACAGTAGTAGCACATCAGGTTTACAAAATAATTATGAAACAAAGCATATACAGTGGCGGAACTACCGCGGTCTTAGCTGCGACCGGACCCGCCACTCCAGGGGCCCGGCCGTCCTGCAAACGCCTGCAACCGGGTACCCGCCTTCATATGTTACGGCCCCAGCCCGCACAGTGTAACTGCCAGGGCCAGATTAAGGGGTCCATCGGGTGGCCCATACTGTTATGGCCACCCGATGGAAATGAATTTCCAGGTGGCCCGGTCAGCGTTGCGCTTTAACAGCGTGACTGGGTCCCCTGTGATGATGTTGGACGCTGCCACGCCGGTAGGAAGTGACTGCCCCGGTCACTCCTCCCAGCAACCACCGGGAGCCGCACAGGAGGAGGGAGTCAGAGTGGACCCCATCAGCGTGAGCCACTGGACCCCAGGGAAAGTCACCCTAAAAAGGTAGGAAACAGGAGGGAGACTTAAAATTTTTGTAAATAAATGTGTTTGTTTGTATCTATGTTTGTCTGTATGAATGTTTTTCTGTATGTGTGTATGTATGAGTGTTATGTCCGTGTATGTATGTGTGTGTGTATATTTGCATGTATGCTGGGGGTAGACGCATGGGGGGCCCCAGGTCAATTTCTGTACTGGGGACCTGTGGTTTCTAGTTACGCATCTGGGTGTGTATGTTAAAAATGTGAAGAAAAAAAACAACTAAATTTTACTACAATATTTAGCAGAGATTGGCATTGACGTGGCTACGTAATAAGTGTCAAAATACCTGTAGGTATTATGATGTCTACTTTATAAAAAGATAGACTTTGTGTGGCAATTTTGTTTTTTGTGATGACTATTAGACTAAAATCACTCCACATTGAAATTTTAATTTACTCCTTGTATTTTGTGACCTGTAATTAACAAAATAAACTGAAATCAAAGCCTTTTTGTCCTTTAAGAAATGGTATACAATATGTGTTGGTGCTTTAAATGTGAAAGATTGAAATTGCAGTTGAACACAAACAGAGCAAACATTGCTTTGGTCCTTAAGTGAAACACAAATCAAACTTGTCCTTAAGGGGGTTAAAAACAATGACTACAAAACCTCCAATATATAATATATATGGGTACATGTAAAGAAAACCCTTTAAATTACAGTGGAACAAACATTTCCAGGTTTTGTTATGGTTCAGAAGTTGGACAATTGCTTCGGTCCTTAAGGGATTAATTTATGACAATTTAAATAAGTTTAATGTAAATTAAAAAGACTGCAATCCCTGTAAGTGTGAATTTGAAATTCTGACTATCTAGATATTTTGCTTTCAGGCAGAAGATCTGAATGTTAATTGCTAACCTACCCATATCAACATCACTTTTTTCGGATTCTTTGTCTGTATCGTTATCTTTGCTTTTCTCATCATCCTTCTTTGATACCTCACTTGTCCGTTCCTTCCCCTCATCGTCAGGGATGGCTTCACCTGGGGAGTCCTGAAACATTAAGCAACAGTGTGCATTGCTCAATTTACAGTAGTGATGTTTTAGGCTAAAACTCCAAGATGCTCTACGGATTTACTATAAATTAAAATTAGCAAACTTTTGCTCCCCAGATGTTATGGACTGTGATGAGCATCACAGGAAACATATTTCACAACAGCTGGAGTACCAAATGTGCAAACCTAGGTAAAACCAGACAGTGACTTAAGAGCAAGAGGAATCTATGTATTTTCACTTCTCTTTTGTTTTGGAAGATGTGCCTCCTAGTAAACAGGACAATAAAAGCATAAGAATGTTTACTAGAACAGCAATGCCAAATCCCGGGTCACTGTCGCAAAATGGACCTTGGGGCCCGACTAGTTCTGCAATTGTGGACCTGCTCTATCCCTCCTACCAGTTATATATATGTCCGATCTCCATCATACTATCTGACATTCTTGACGTCACTACAATTGAATGTGGGGGAGGAGACGTGGCTGACAGTGGAGTAATTTCTCCCTATTATCTCCACATCTCCCTACTCTGCCTACTTAATATATCAATAACCTTATTATCACTGCTATAGCTCCAATGTAAGTTCATGGGATCGTACATCTAAATTCAAATCTGACCTTGAACAAGGCCATGAAATGCGTATGCTTTTGCTTTTACCATTACCACTAATATTTTATTGGTTAGGTAGTGGGGGAGGGATGGGGATGTGGGAACTGGCAGGCATGTTTCTGTTTAGTTTAGATATTTTTTGGTATAATGTCACAGAAAAAAGAGAATGTAATTTTATGTACTTTGCAATTCTCAAATGCCTATTTCAATAATACTTGAAACTACTTATTGTTATCCAATGTATGTTTTGCATTTCTATTTGACACTCTCAATAAAAAAATTATTTAAAAGAAAAAATGTACCTTGGGTTCTTTCTTGTCTTCTGTGCTCTGTGTTTCTGATGGTGGCTCTTCTGTACTGCTTTCCTCTAGAAGAGGGTACATTGAATGTTGTTATAAATATTTTATAAGGAAACAGGGAGTGATATGTACTATCTGCATTGTAGCTTTACTGTTCATCCGTCCATTGATTAACCACTGGAACAATCATGCACACCTACATTTGCAAAGATGCTAGAAAACTAGTACACTATGTGAATAAACACTCTGGGGATCTAACAACACAATTTGTTTTGTAATTTCTTAATCCTACTTCAATCACTGTTGATTTCCAAAGCAACGACAAAAACTGGTGATAAAGACTACAAACTAGGCTCTCACTGATATTGTTTTTTTTTCTTTCTTTTTTTTTTTTTTTTTACCAACTACTATAAACTGCTCACTAAAAGGCACACATGGCCTGCTCATATTGTGAGACTTGACATAAATGATCTTACCCTTTAGCAAAATATGAGAATTTATCAGACATTAAATTTTTTTTAAATAAGGCCTTATCTCTATTGAACTTCCATTCTCGAGCTGAAGGGCTGTTGAAATACATGTTTTTCGCCTAACAGATTCCTTTTGAAAAGATGTAAGGTGTCTTGGGTATAATAGAGGAAACAGCTTGAGTATTCCCTACCATGGGGTTCATGGGTGTTCCTTTTGGGACAATCTGTAGAGGGTATCAATAAATACATAGAAACAATCATTACTCACATGTAAACTATGTCAATATATTTATTAACCTTAGCACCCCAGATGTTTCTTACACAAAGCCACCTTTGAAAGATTATGGGAAAAATAGTAAAAAAGTATCTGAAGTGCCATGATTAAGCTCTCTGGCTACTAAATTTGTAATCATTACGAAAATCGTACATTTTTATTAAATGCTGGAAGTACATACAAACAATCCATGATAGTTTGTGTTCATGGCAACCTAGTGCTTTAAGCCCTTAAGGACCAAACTTCTGGAATAAAAGGGAATCATGACATGTCACACATGTCATGTGTCCTTAAGGGGTTAAACAGCAGAGACTAACAAATCATGTATAAAATACTAAAGTGCAAACTAACAGACAGAACCTCCCATCCTTTGGTAGAGCTGCACTCCATCTCCATGAAGGAAGATCAGCTAAACTGAAATCCAATTACAAAAAAATGAGAAAAAAAAAAAAAGAGTAAGAAGAGCACATTTGGCTCACGCATTGCTTAATCTTGGGATTATTAAATTAGCTAACCCACCCATGATAAAGCAAGACCGAAAGTGATATTTTGATTTATAGTTTAGTAGCTATGTTTCCATACTGCAGCTCACCTATCTTCTCATTATCTTCAAATGTAGTTCCAGCGATGCCACTGCTCTCCAGTCCATAGCTGGGGTCGGGTTTGCCAGTTATTTTAGCTGCATCCTCCACCTTCCGCACGTGAGCTTCCACCAGTGCTGTAGGAACTTCCTCCTTCATCTTAGAAAATTCATCTACAAAAGGCGGTAGAAAAACTCTAAAATATTAATTTATGAGAATGTCACACTCCAATGTAACCCAAGTTATTTCTTAAACACATACACAGGAGGATAGTTATTTTTTGTATGCACAGATTGTTAATGAGAAACTAAAAAAAAGTCAAAGTTCAATTACACAGGGTAATGTGAGTTTTTTTGTTTTTTTTAACAAACATGAGAGAGAGAGATAATATACCTAAAGCTGATTTGGCTGCAGCAGATGCTACACGGGGGTCTACCACAGACGCAAGGAAGGCTACAGTGCTCATCACAGGGTTGCCTGACTGGCTGAAGGGTATGGGCTGAAAGGCTAGAGGTCCAAGTGAGGCCTCAGAGTCCTCCAGATAGGGGTCCTCAATTGGCAAACGCAAGAAATGAAGGATGCACTCGTCCTGTGTGCGGCTCCCTACGTGTTCAGACACCTTATTCCAGTCGTCTTTGTACATTTCTAGTGCCTGAGAAGGTATGAGGCAATAACAAACCATTCAGTGTTCATAAACACAGATATACAGTATACAATATCTATGGAAAGCAGTGATTTATATCCACTTACCTCAAGCAGCAATAGTGTCTCCTGTTCTGTCCATTCACGTGTGGCACTTGCAGCAGCTTTACTCTATGAGAGAAATACGGAATTATAAAACATGTCACATAATATGACATTGATTGGTATACTGGCATACAGTTAGATGGGAAAAGTGTCAAGATTTCTATAGAGAATATAGAAGTTAACAGACAATGGGGCAGTATAATAAAGGAGAATTAGTGTATAAATAAAAATGTGGCCTTTCAATAAAAAAGGCTGTTTATTGATTAATTCTATTATAAATACACACTTTGTGAAACTTAAACCAAATATTTACAATCAGCTGTTACCACACTGTTTAAGAATGTGGCTATGTCATGATTTTATTTTTTAACATAACATTATTTACCAAAATAAATTAAATTTAATAAGACACAGCTACCAGAAATAAATAGACTCCTCCTGTATTCCCTTCATTTAACTTTGCAGATGGCAGAAATCTGCTATCATGTCACAAAGTCCTGACATCTAACATTTTGAAACAACCTGAAATAGATACCCCACTAAAATACAAAGATAAAACAGATTGTAGAAGTGTCAAAGCAGCCTGCAGACATAGTTCTTCACTAAAAGTGTGAAGTGTTGTCATGCCATAGTGAAATCACAGCAGATTTTAAATTTTAGGCTAAAAAAAAGCTGAATAGGCCATGCTTTCAATTAATGTATTTTGGTCTACAATTTGAAATTCACTTTGAATTCACAATATATTTCTGTCAATTCACAAGTAAGTGACTAAGTATGAAAGTGTGCCCTCTGCCAGTAATATTCTCACACATCAACATTGGCATAAGACAGCAGGACACTAAACACATAACATTACAAAAAGGTTACAAGAATATACCTTGGATGTTGTGTTTTTCTTGCTGTACATATCTGTTCGTAAGCCAAAATTTTGAAGGTCACTGGGTTTTTCTTTACCTTTATCAGGAAAATTCAGCATTTGTTGGGAAGCAGATGTCTAAAGGGAAAGAACAGGAAATATTTAATAAAGAGGATTTGATGTGGATGAAGGGCAAAAAAAAAAAAAAGATTCTAGACAAAATATGCCACAAAACAGACAAAAACAAATAAAATAAAGGTTGAAAGGGCGAAAGTTATTATGGAACACCAACAAAACAGTACAATTACATTTGTAAAAAACACAACCTAGAGTAGCAATGGCAGTGACAAGTCATGTTTTAAAAGTGATGAAGCTGCAAATTAAGTGCCAGATAAATCAAAGTGAAAAAAAAAAAAAAAGTGAAAGAGACAATTTCAAAACCAGTCTACCTGTGGTGTTTTGGGCTGCAATGGAACCAGTCCTGAAGGAGTATCAGCTAACACATGGAAATGTGATGTAGGAGGCGGCCCCATAGGGGTTGGACGACTCTCAGCATCCACTTGGTAGTTAATGAGACCCCATTGTTCCAGGAAGGCATGTACCCTGCAGCAAGCAGAACACAACAGCTGGGAAACCATACTCTGCTCTTTACATAAATATTATACAGCTCTCACTTATCCACATGCATGGCCTTTCCCCAAAGCTAGCCGGTATTTTCACATAGCATCTCTGCCTTGGCCCATTTTGGTCATTGCCTTTTAGTCCTTTGAGTTGAAGTTCCCATGTTCCCCGCACCTCATGATAGCACAGACATCTCCTGCCAAGTTACGACGACATGCTGTAGAAGTGAGGTATTCCTGAGGGTTGAGTCGGTAGGTGTCAATCATGAAGTTTCGATATGCCAGGTAGCTAAACATGGAAAAGCAGCCGGATTAACAGTGCACACTCATTATGGCCTACTACATCCCATCTTAGCAGTCTGTGCAAGTGCTGTAAGGTTATCTACCCATTACCTTTAAACCTCTGGTCTCAAGTTCCCTTCATAGCCAAAACAAGCCATTTAATTTAGTACTTTTTAAAACGAGGCTGTTAATACTAAATCTAACTTCATGGGCAGGGTCCTCTATTCCTTTTGTATTTGTTTGTCTATAACGTACTGCCTATTTTCCTGATTGTACATCGCTGTCAGCACTTTATAAATGCTAGTAATATTAATATTACTAAAAGAATACGAAATGAAAAAATAAGGAAACTATATAAAAAGTTGCTACTCTAATCATCTTACTGTAAATTTCTTTCTAGAGCATTTTTTCATCCGAATTAAAGGGACACTATAGTCACCAGAACAACTACAGCTTATTTTATTTGTTATGGTGAGTATAATCATTCCCTTAAAGCTTTCTGCACTAAAAACGGTCTTTTCAGAGAAATTGCAGTGTTTACATTACAGCCTAGTGATAACTCCACTGGCCACTCCTCAGATGGCTAGTAGAGGTGCTTCCTGCACAGTGAGCAGCACTGCCAATCCGTGTCTCCACCATCTACATGCAGACACTGAACTTTCCTTATAGAGATGCATTGATTCAATTAATCTCTATGAGAAGATGCTGATTGGTCAGGGCTGTGTTTGACTTGTGCTCTGCCTCCTTGACATGAGGAAATCCTATGGGGAAGAACTATGATAGGCTCAGACCGCCACTTCTGATAATGTCAGCAGACAGGACAGTGGCAGCTGCTGCAGACTTGAATAAAAGTAAGATTTTAGTATATTTAGGGAGGGGGCCAAGGAGGACTAGATGGTGCTTTTAACACTATAGTACAGGTTTGTGTTACTGACCCTATAGTGTTCCTTTAAAGAAAAGGCTCTCTTGGATGAAGTGGACTACTCTTTGGTTTATGTATTATACAAATAATTAATTTTAGAAAAGGTAGGAGAAAAAATATGAAGTTACCCCTGAATTATCATCGCCTGATGCAGACTTTGCATGAACCAAACAGTGGCTGAGAGTTTTCAGCCAATTCTTGTATTTACATTATTTTCAATGTATGTTTGATGAATTCATATTTAGCAGAGGTTTAAGGGAAATGCAGGTCAGCAATAAGTAGACCTGAAAGTATTTAGTACACTAAAAGACATGACAATCTCTCATCCCTGTAAGACTCATCCAATTACATTACAGACAGTATCAAAATAACATAAGTACGAGTGCATCCAAGGTAATGATCTCGGAGCAAGGTTGTGACATGATGTGTCTAAATTCACTTTTGAGTTCATAATAACTCCTTTTCATTTTAATTCCAAAATCTTTATTTTCTCACACACTCTATACCGGGATGGATGAGAAAAAAAAATCCCCCAAAATTTAAATCATTGGATCTCTTTGAGGTACTGAATGAGTTAGAGTGAATGACGTGTGTTTGTTTTGTCACTGAGGATCCTGTGACATAAAAGCACACACATTTTACAATAAAGCAAGGTGGGATAAAAGGAAAAAAAAAAAACTATTTAATTGTGATATATTAATAATATTCTAAAGATATATTTAAAAATAAACAACTGTCTAAAAGCTGAAGGAGTTCTGAATAACATTATGAAAAAAAGGTTAATGAACAATGTCATTTTAACCCAATATAAAGTTTTATAAGTATATAACAATACAAAACAAAAGAGATTGAAAGTGAACAATTAGTTTTGACAGGCCAGTATGGCACCAAATATGGTTAAATGCATTCCCACCAAATCAAGTTTGTAGCCTATTACATGACTTATAGCACACAGTAATAAGATGATGTTTTTCTATCCAGTTCGTCAAATCTTTATGTACACAACTAGAGTGTTTAACTTTAAAGTCTTCCATATAATGATGAATTTATGAGTCATATAGCCCCAGCAAATCCATCATAGCTTGTTCTATGACCGGTAGAACTTACATCTCTGGGGTTTTTGACTTATTTTTGCCGTTGAAAAATTCTGGTAGTGCCCGACGTTCAATGGCATGAACACTGCAAAGAAAAAGGCATCAGATAGGAAAAAATATTAAAAATGACCGGTTGTCAGAGAGGGAAAGGTACAAATATGTTAAAATTGAACCCAATAGGGCTTTGACATGAAGTTTTCCAAGCACACAATAAAATGCACACCATAATCATAACAGGGGAACTTGTAAGTTAAATAGACAAGCCTATCTGAATTACCTATTGTAATCAAACCAGGCAGCATAGCTGGGGATAATAATATGATGGGTTTGTTCAGTCACGTTGTCCTCATGAAGGTCGGAAGTCTTGATTTGTTCTCCTTTGTTCCCTGATGAGTTCTCATCCTCGTCCTACAGGGAACAAAATTGAACAGGTAATTTTAACTAGTAGTGATTAGTGTGTTCTAAAAACCGAAAAAAAAAAAAAAAAAACCCACAAAAAAAACCAAAAAACAAGTGCATGTAGATGTTATGTAAGATGCTACTCATACCTTGGTCACAGTTTCCATACTTTCATCCTCTTGTTCATCTGTAAAAGCAAGACAGGAAAACAGAGAAACTCTGAAATCAGAAGAATATACTACAATACCACACAGTCTTTTTCTCTTTTGGTGTTGCACACTGCCCAAAAGTTCCAAATTCCAAGGGAATGTCCCAATTTCAGGCTCTTGTTCTGCTATCCCCCGTTCGTTTCGTGATCTCCTGCATCCAGTGAGTATATCATTAGAAGCACACACGCTATGCTGAGAGCACTAAGACTATGCCAAAAGTGCTTCAGCACTGCTCTGTGCATGGTGTGCCCTGAGTGGGGCTGGCCAGGGAGGCTGTCAGTAAACTGACACACACCGCCTTTAAACGGCCCCACCCTAATTCCCAAGGTCACTTATTTTGGGCACATTCAGTGACACAATTCACCAAGGAAGCATTTGTGTGCTTTTTGGTAAGAAAGACCTCTTTTCGGAATCTGTGCAGAGTTCTGAGATGGCTTTAGGTTTACAACACACACACACACACACTTAAATGGACACTATAGGGACCAATACATCTTTAATGTACTGATTTTGTCCTATGTTGTATTACAAATTGTGCATGTATTATTTTTTTTCCATTTTGCAATAAATGTTTTGCAGAATGCTGCATCATAAGCCTGCCTCCTTAGTCACACCTCCTCAATGCTGAAAACGAATTCCTCATTAGTGTACACAGGTCAGCCCCACACAGCACAGAATAAGCTGCTAGCCAAAAAGTCAACTTTACGGGGGTGGAGCTTGACTGGCTAGCCAAGAGGACGCATGCTGAATGAACTCCCGGGCTCCACGTTATATTTAATGATTTTCTCCAGTCAAACAGAAGATCTAGCCACCACAAACCGGGTACCGCACAGTGGGGACACTGGTGAACCAAACAATACCAGATTCAGGACTTCCCTCGCCTGGACCACCGGCAACTTACCTCTTCCGGCCTACAAGTGACTAAGACGCCGGAGAGACGACCGCTCTCCTGGCGCAGACTCTTGCGAAACCTGCCGTCTTCTGCACTCTTCCTCCCTCCCCCTTTTCAACTGGTGGGGGTCATCCCGGTCTCAGGAGGATCCACCTCCTCATCTAACAAATACCGCCACTGAGAGTCTTAGTACACAGAGGTGCACAAGATGGCGGCGACCGCAGCTGAATCCTCACCTGAGGCCCACATAGCGACAACACTGGTGAATCTTGATCGTATCTTTGCCTGATTCTGGGCCACACTAGAAGCAAGACAGCTGAGCCAGGAGACAAAGGTATGGATTCTCTTCACTGTCCACATGCCTAGCTAGCCCCACATGTCTGCAAATCTGATTAATAACCTCATAGTTAGACATGCCTGAATCGTTTGACACTCTTGTATTTTTTCGATACCTAAAAATAGGTGCACGATATCCACTATGCAATGTTATTTCTGGTCTTGTTATTTCTTGCAATGTTTCCAACAGCTATTGTGACATAGTGAACCTGATTGTAATCTCTTGCACAGGAAAAATAAAGAATTAAATTTTTTTTAAAAAGCCAACATTAAAAGCAGAGGAAACCCAGGCAGTCGAATAGAAAGGATATCTCTATCTGTCTGTAGTTTATCTGGCTTTCTGCAGTTATGTTGTGGGTCAAATTAAGTCATTGTATACTACAACTAAGCAGAGTAATTCAGCCATATGGTATAAACATTACATCCCATGGAAGGTTATCTGAAAGGAACACAGAGTGGAAACACAGTGTTAAAACGTGCATTAACAAAACTATGTATAAACATCTTCAAGCAAGCAGGTTTAGTGAATGGGGACTTGCCGATTGGCTGAGAGCATCAACTGATCGCTCTAAGCCATATAGCAGCGCCCATGCCCAGCGACACTCTGTGCTTTCTGAATCTGACAATTCAGACAATATAAGTTGCCAGGGGAGAAATGGAGACCATTGTTGGAGGCATCTTTGGAGTTAAACCATTTAAGAACGGTTTAATCCCTTAAGGTTATGGTGTCTGGAGGCACTCTTTAGATGATGTTGTTTTGGTGTCTATTGTGTTCCTTTAAGGTTTTGCATGCCATACAAATACAGAGTTCACAAAAGATACAAAAAATATCTGTACACAAAAAGTGAGCGATGGACAACAGAAATAAAAACAAGAGGTAGGATTTCTTTTTTCCTGCCAAGGTTTATTTGTTTAACAATGCTTGTATGGTAAAAATATCAGTCATATGATATTGCTTTTAAGAGATTTAGTAAAATGTACCAACAGTCAATGTTAACCAAATTAAAAAAAGATTCCGAACAGTTATTACATAATATGGCAAACAGGGAGCTTATTAAGAAGGATGAGATTTGAGTTCTACGTGAACCAGGCTTTATTTGTATTTAATTGGTTGTATGAGCCATTTAGGGATATGCACTAAATAACTTATCTAGTAGAGACTTTGTTATTGGCCTAGTTTTATGTCAGTACTGTGCTAACTGCTATCACAATTTGAATGATCAGTTTTATAATAAATGTTGCCAACTTTTCTGGTAGCATAAATAATAAGAATCTCTCTGCTGAGGGCTTTAGTTAAAGTTTGAATTAAATGAGCTACTGTCCGCTAGAGAGGTTGAATGCTAAAGCGGTTCTATCATACATGTAAGCATAAAACCACATTCTTTTAGGTAGACATCCCCTGATGAGCAAGGTGAAACATGCTTTGGAGTACATCTCAGTTTTAGATTAGCATTATTACAACAGATAGATATCTGTTTCTGATTAAAGCAACTTGTACCTTCACCTATTCTGGAATCCTGACTCCCCTAAGTCTCTGTATATGACCTCCTCATTTCTCTTTCTATTACAGTGTTTGTAAGAGGGTGTCTACTAATTTATACATTATAGTATGGGTGATTTAATTAACTATTAATATACCAAAATGTATCCTACAGGCTGACACATAGCAGTTTATTCCCATTTATTAATTTATTCTATTCTTAGAGATTTCTTTTAGTTTAAGTTTTGCCTCTTGATTATTAGTGCCATTTGTATATATGAACTGAACTATATAATCTGTATTTTAGTGTCAGTTCACACACACTAGTGTTTTTCCTTCTGTTTTGGGGAAGACCATAGTTGTTTTGTATGAAACATTGGCTCTAACCAATCGTGCCACTTAGACTAATGTTAGTTTGTATTTGTGTAACTTTGGAATGATACAATGTTATGTTAGAACAGCATATTTTACAGAACAAATTTAAAAAGCAAGCTTAGCCTGTGGGCACTTCTATATTATATACTTATCTTTGAATGTATTGTTTTTCCATCAATAATAATGTAGCCCTATGCTAATTGAAATTCGACTTGGAAACATGTTTATGTTTAATTTATTATCCCAGTTACTAGATTAGGCAATAACGTTTGAAGGAATGTACGGAGTGATATTTCATTATTATTTTTAATATAAGGAATATAAATGGTCTAAAAAGTTATACTCTATATCAGTCTTTCCCAAACCAGTCCTCAAGACCCACCAACAGTTCAGGTTTTGTCAATATCTCCACTGGAAAAAAACAGGGAAATACATAAATCCTGAACTGTTGGTGGGCCATGAGGACTAGTTTGGGAACAACTGATATATAATTATAACTGAGTATATATATATTTTTAGATCATTTATATGTTTATTCAGTTTGGCTTTTACTACATTGTTCATAAATAAAGATGTAAAAAGATAAAGGAGGTTAGCGCTAATAATAAAAAGTGGATGGGTAGCGGCCTAGCAGAGGGTAACCCTCTATAATGAAAATGGAAGACGACAACAACAACAGTAATGCAAGGCTGTGCCAAAATATATCAATGTGGACTACAGATATTATAAAGCATATAAATGAGACATAAAAAGAGTGCAAACAGAATAGTTTATATGTCTCATTTATATGCTTTATAATATCTGTAGTCCACATTGATATACTTTGGCGCAGCCTTGCATTACTGTTGTTGTCGTTTTCCATTTTCATAATTAAAGGTTTACTTTATTCTTATCAATTCTCATCCCATCTTAGCTTTTTAGGAATCAGAAAAAAATTCAGTTACGTTTTCCCGATAAATCTCACTTTAGTGAAAACCTTTGTGATTCTCAATCATAGTCGAAAGATTATCACAGTTGTGATGTTGTGATATACAATTAAGCTGCTTCATATAATCCAAAAGCAAGCTGCAGGAAGTGAGATAAACTACAGACATGCATGTTGTGATATCCTTATTCTGTGCCTGTTTGGGTGTCCTCTCCTTTCTACTGCAGTCTGCTTTCTAGTTCAGCTCATTCAGCGCTATCAGAGGTTGAGTTGTGAATGTACATTGATATCAAATCTTTTTTCTGGCATAAGGAGTGCGTGGTTATGGAGCAGCATTCTTCCAAACATTTATTTATTTTACTAAAATTACAAAGATCTAAGGATGCAAAACTACAGCTTATTAATGAGACCCAGACCTGTTCCATGCCCATATGGTCCCTTTAAAGATTTCTGACCAAGTTATTTTGGCACCTGGGATAAAGTCTCAAAGGAAAAAAAGAAAAACACGCCACAACAAGTGCTCACTAAAATCCAAGCTGAAGTTTATTGGACACAAAATTAAACAGGGGGAACAAAAAGACAAAAAAAGAAAAACATCCTGACACTTTTCAGACGTCCAGGTCCTTAGACAAAGGAATATGATAAAGCCTTCCAGATTAACTTACTCAGCAGGAAAAAGCTTTGCATAAGGATTGTTTCACTCAATACACACAAAGTTTTGGGTTTGGTTTTGTTTTTTAGACTGTGGGTCAGTAAAGCATTATAACAAGTGAAGCATTTATAAAATTCCTGATTCTCACATATACCAAATAGAAACCCCATGCATCAAAGTCTTGGACACCTCATGTTGGTTGTGGGTCAAAGGCATTCCCAGCATGGGTATGGAAGGAAATAGGTGCAGGCTTCCTTAGGGCAGTCAGAATATATAAAACACAGGAACAATATAATCTATTTGATATAATATTTTTTCCCAGGGAAATCAAAACACTTTGCTCACAATCTGATTTAATCGCACTGCAACTGAATAGTATATATTACTAAAACTCATTGTATGGACCATAAAAAGGACGAAATGCTAAACTGTCCCTCACTGCAATGAAACCTCTCCATTAGACTATTCTGCAGACAATAATAATGTAATACACATGAACCATTAGGAGATTACAAACAAGTGCACTCAAGCAAAAGAAGAGGAGTGACAGGATTCTCTTTTCACAAAATATTGTTGTACAGTTCAGCCATCTGATCTAGTTTATACACTGCACTTTCAAACATACATACAATTATACCAATAAGCACTTACCTAAATCCGTCACGGTGCCTCCTTTCACTGGAGCAGACTCAGAGTCTTTCTTGGTGTTTACTAGAGTGGAATAGGAAATTATAGCATTATTTGATTGAAAGAAGAACAGTATAAACTCTAAACATAGGGAAATTATTTTTCTTATATCTAAGGCAGAACCTGGGGAAGAGTTATATCTTACAGAGAAGATTTGGTACTTTCCTGGTAAGGAGGGGTATTCATAGATCAATATTTACATTTAAAAGAGCTTGGTCCACACCTGCACGTAGAGTAACAAAGGAAGTAATTCCTCCATACCATCTAGGCAACATAAGAGTAGCTCAAAGAGGCAAGGGTGGATTGTTTGACTTCTTCTGGATTTGTACCAAGAATTATCTTGAAAATTTGAATTTTTGGACCTTTCTACTAATGAACTGATACCATATGTGACATGAAAACAGAAAAGTATCTGAGAAGGCACTTTTACCTGTTTTAGGAAGTGTAACTTCTTCCACATTAGGAACAGGAGAGGGTTCGTCCATGTCCTTAGTGAGATCTTCTTGCTCTTCCTCTCGGTGACCTCGCTTGGACTTGGTATAAGGAGTAGCTGGTCTGAAACATGAAAGTCTCAACAGCATCAGTCAAGGAACATTACCAACTTATATAAATAAAGCAATGCAACATAAAAGGAAACTATGACTGGACTATCTTTGCCAGAAAATATATTGATATAAGGAATGGATAGATAGCAGTGGCTAAGGTACAGCATCCTACCTGCAAAAGAGGTCACATACAGCAATGGATCACCTAATGGAACATTTTGAAATGACGATAATGTAAAGTTATATTTAATTAAAAGGACACTAAAAGCATCGTCACCACTACTGCTCAGTGGTGCTATAAAATTATGAGTTCCCCAGAGATTCTTTTTGCTAGACTTCATAGAAGCAGAACTGATAATGCAGAAACTGCACTTTATCAAGATTGATTGCATCCAGTCTAGATGTTAATAATAGTCTGCCATTGACTTGTCGTATCTTAACCACTACAATGACCTGTAGCAGTTAAGGTGCTATGAGTGCCAATTTAATAAATTAACAGATCACATGACAACATTTTCCTATCTTTATCATGCTTCCTATATGGTCTATAAAATATAACTGTGCCGACTGCACTCATCAATTTAAAGGCACAATCGAGGTTAATGTACCTGGATGCTTTCATGAGATCTCTGGTCATAGAACTTCAACTTTCCAATAATTTGATAGCACCACGTAGAACAGAAATTTTTATTTACATCTTGCAAGTGCAAAATAGACAATATAGATAATTAAAATACACTATATACTATGGACAATTACGCACCCCTTTTTGACGTTTTTCTTTTTTGCCTCTGCACTGGGTGGAGGTGAGGGTGAGCGTTTTCTCTTCTTGTAGTTAGGTCCTTTCTTGTCCTTGCGGTCGGAGTCTGGACTGCTTACCTTTAGACATGATAAAGAACAACAAATGAAGCAAAAACAACTGAAGTTTCCAAAATAATTTATAAAGATTTATGTCAAACAATATAAAGCAAAGACTACTACCATTAAGCAGCAACAAAAAGTTAATATTTCCCCTCTATCCCCTGAACATCCGATCTCCAACAAGTATTATGGGTTGCCTCTCTTACAGGAAAAGAAAATTATAACTAAAAGAAACCCACAATCAATCTACACTTAATGAATAGTTGAGGTCTCTTTACAAAACTTCTACATCTCTTCATTGAAAAAACAACTTTATTCTAAACCTGAAAACATGACTGTCGGTTTTATTATAATATGAACTTTGCAAAAGTCTTCTGAAAATATACAGTAATTAATTTTGCTTTAAAAAAAACAACTAGCTTTAATATGGTTCTATCACAGCCACCCATTAACCTCGTTGATGTTTTGTGAACTGAAATACCCCTGCCGTGCAGGATAGTGTCTCTCTGGACATGTTTTTTTGATAATATACAACTGCGTGATTACTGAAAATAAACCTTAACTAAAGTCAATGGGGATTTCAAATGTAAAACCTATTTAATTATACCTCTACTTGCGGTTTATTTAAAAAAAAAAAATGCACTCATGACACATCAAGTATAGAAATATATCTGTTCTTTCTGAATCTTTATGAATGGTGAGAGAAAATTGGAGAATGGTCTTTGAGAAAGTGTGGTAACACCTTATTCCCTCGTTTTCTTTCCTTCCTCTTGTTTTTATCATCCTTTGCCTCAAAACTTTTAATGTAAAATTAAAAGTAAAAAAACAAACAAAAGAAGGTATTGCAAAATTGAAATAATGCCTGCAACTATTGAGAGTAAGAATAAGATATGGAATCATGGATTTAAACCCAATTCATGTGGCAACGGTTGGATACCAAGGCTCTTCAGATATTGTACTTGAACCACTTAAATGACCTTTAGTCCCCTACGATGGATGTGGTTATCCAACAACATTGTTCTATAAAAAGGCATATATCAGGAAGTTAAGAATTTGATTACCTCATCAGTCAAGGTCTTGGCAGATATTTTCTTACGGCGAGTAACCGGGCTCCTCTCATCATTCACTTCATAGTCTTCCTCATTCATCCATTCGTTGAAAGAGTCTGTATCCAAAATCCATTTGGCATGAACCTACTCAAAAGAACCAAAAGACTCAACTCATGAACATATTTAAAAGGAGTTTCTTCTAACCCATTTGCTATAAATGCTGCTCTTGTTAATAAAATCTACCCTGTACTGATATATTCCCAAAAGGATATAATTTTTTTTGGAGGGGTGGGGGGTTTACAGACACTGCAACAGTTTGATTAAGCTTATTTGCAGTCAGCCTCAAAGATGTGGTTGCTATGGCAGTCAGTGGTCAAAAATGAAAAAGGGAAGGTTCCATTTCTAAAGTCTTTTGAAGTCATTTGATTTTAGAACATTTGAAAATATACAGAGGAAAAAAAAAAAGACATAACCAAAACATTTAGGAAAAAAAGATATATGGGAACATTCATAACTGTAGATCCAGGCAATACAATATAATTAACATATAAGAATGTGGAATTACATCAGTATTTGGCATGCAATTGCTTCAATCCAACTGGGTAACAGTAAGCAAGTAATTTTGGGATACAAACAACAAAACACGTTTACAATCAGGGTCTCTCGTCAAAGTGGTTTTGCATTTTGCGAAAAATATATATCTGCTGCAAATAAGGGTGATCTTTTGATGTCTAATGTCACTGTTGTGTTTTCCAAACCATCTTGCTTATTTTAACCCCTTAATGATGTTGGCACGTTCCTTGCTGTCCTACACAAAGTGGGCTTAAATATCCGTAGGAAGGCATGGAATACCCTGCAGATTTGGTTGGAGCAGGGTTAAATCCCTTCTCATACCAGGCAGCCCAAATATCAGTGGATAACTGGAGGCATTTAACAGAACTGATATATGAATCTATTTTGAGTTCTTTATAACTGGTTGCATTGAATGTGTAAAAACAGCAGTAATTTTACTTACCGTAAATTCTTTTGTCCTTAGTATACAGGGAGTGCAGAATTATTAGGCAAATGAGTATTTTGACCACATCATCCTCTTTATGCATGTTGTCTTACTCCAAGCTGTATAGGCTCGAAAGCCTACTACCAATTAAGCATATTAGGTGATGTGCATCTCTGTAATGAGAAGGGGTGTGGTCTAATGACATCAACACCCTATATCAGGTGTGCATAATTATTAGGCAACTTCCTTTCCTTTGGCAAAATGGGTCAAAGAAGGACTTGACAGGCTCAGAAAAGTCAAAAATAGTGAGATATCTTGCAGAGGGATGCAGCACTCTTAAAATTGCAAAGCTTCTGAAGCGTGATCATCGAACAATCAAGCGTTTCATTCAAAATAGTCAACAGGGTCGCAAGAAGCGTGTGGAAAAACCAAGGCGCAAAATAACTGCCCATGAACTGAGAAAAGTCAAGCGTGCAGCTGCCGCGATGCCACTTGCCACCAGTTTGGCCATATTTCAGAGCTGCAACATCACTGGAGTGCCCAAAAGCACAAGGTGTGCAATACTCAGAGACATGGCCAAGGTAAGAAAGGCTGAAAGACGACCACCACTGAACAAGACACACAAGCTGAAACGTCAAGACTGGGCCAAGAAATATCTCAAGACTGATTTTTCTAAGGTTTTATGGACTGATGAAATGAGAGTGAGTCTTGATGGGCCAGATGGATGGGCCCGTGGCTGGATTGGTAAAGGGCAGAGAGCTCCAGTCCGACTCAGACGCCAGCAAGGTGGAGGTGGAGTACTGGTTTGGGCTGGTATCATCAAAGATGAGCTTGTGGGGCCTTTTCGGGTTGAGGATGGAGTCAAGCTCAACTCCCAGTCCTACTGCCAGTTCCTGGAAGACACCTTCTTCAAGCAGTGGTACAGGAAGAAGTCTGCATCCTTCAAGAAAAACATGATTTTCATGCAGGACAATGCTCCATCACACGCGTCCAAGTACTCCACAGCGTGGCTGGCAAGAAAGGGTATAAAAGAAGAAAATCTAATGACATGGCCTCCTTGTTCACCTGATCTGAACCCCATTGAGAACCTGTGGTCCATCATCAAATGTGAGATTTACAAGGAGGGAAAACAGTACACCTCTCTGAACAGTGTCTGGGAGGCTGTGGTTGCTGCTGCACGCAATGTTGATGGTGAACAGATCAAAACACTGACAGAATCCATGGATGGCAGGCTTTTGAGTGTCCTTGCAAAGAAAGGTGGCTATATTGGTCACTGATTTGTTTTTGTTTTGTTTTTGAATGTCAGAAATGTATATTTGTGAATGTTGAGATGTTATATTGGTTTCACTGGTAATAATAAATAATTGAAATGGGTATATATTTGTTTTTTGTTAAGTTGCCTAATAATTATGCACAGTAATAGTCACCTGCACACACAGATATCCCCCTAACATAGCTATAACTAAAAACAAACTAAAAACTACTTCCAAAAATATTCAGCTTTGATATTAATGAGTTTTTTGGGTTCATTGAGAACATGGTTGTTGTTCAATAATAAAATTAATCCTCAAAAATACAACTTGCCTAATAATTCTGCACTCCCTGTAGTGGCAGTACTGTAACAAGTGGGTTGTATCTTCTCCAGTGGACAAGAAGCTCTCCCTCAAATTTAAATATTCAATTGAGATCCCGCGTGCAGCTTCCCTTATTACCCCTGTACCTCCAAGGCTCCCCAGTCATTAAAAAGAACCAGGGGGTGGAGCCTAGCAGCACACCAGAGCAGACGCCATTGTGGCAAACATAGCCACTTGGACACTATAAAGAGACTGTGCCTTTAAGGGTTGCCTGTATGGTTGTGGGATATGTGCTTAACTATGTAGAATGTATGCTGGTTGTAATTAACGTGTATGTGCTGTATGGGCTATCTGCCGAATGCAGATAGTTGTATGTATTGTATTTTCTTTCGTTTCACGAACGGCACTTTTGCGGGCCGTTCGTGAACCGAAAATACCCCCATGTAGTAGCCCACACACTTAGAGGCGTGTGGCACTTGTTAACGGATTGCAACAATGTTGCAATCGGTAATTAGAGGCTCTCCTAGGTGGCCGCCGTTCGACTACCGACCATGCGGTGGTCGGCCATCTTGGATCCTTTGTTCCCTCAGCGATGTTTGGTCGTCGAGCGCATGGTACTAAAAACGGCTACTCGACGGCGCGAACACCGCTGAGCTTCCAGGCCGTTCGGTATTTTGTTCCCTGGAAGGCAATCGGTATTTTGAACCTGTATTTTAATGAATGTGTTTTTCGTGCGGCGTTCGGTTGGTTTAGCTGGGATCTGAGCGGTAATCTCACGAATGATGCGCTCAGACCCCAGCTATCTACCGAACGTCCATTCATTTAAATGAACTGCATATTCAAAGAGTTATGGATTTTAATGTAAATTGTCGGTTCTGCTGCACGGAGGGATAATCCACTTAACGGTACATTCCTGTGGGAGGATCCCTTTCGTGCAGCAGTGCCTGATGGGAGAAAAGCCCTGTACAGTAAGTCCCCCATGTAGTCCCCTCTGGGAATGCCCCTGGGAGGGGACTCAGGAAACCCCTTGGCATGGGGACTTGTATAAATTGTGGAGCTGAAAATAAAGACCTCAGTTGACTCTCAGAACTGTGTTTCGTCCGGTTACTGGGAGGTTTGGGATATTGCCTTGCTTTTTCCAGCGCTTGACTGTGGATTACTTCCTGACCCAGCGGAATTCGTGGATTTAATATTGGCGTTCCGCTACAGCCATTTCCCCAAGCTCCGAGAAACCGTACCTTAATCAGCCAAATATCAGGACTTGCAAAATACCCGGCAACCCGACACGCCATAGGTGGCAGAGAATTTCACAGATCCGGCAGATGCCGTTCTTTAAGTCACTGGGCGCAAAAACCAGACACTGAGGCAGTAAGGCAGCAGGGAGACTTTGCCGGAGGGCTCTGGCCGTGGAGTACTTTCAGTCCGGAGGAGACACCACTAGGTACATTTACCGAAGGTGAGATGGGTCGCAGATTGCACAAACCGCCCCCAATCACCCTGAAGACACAGCAGGATATAGGCCAAATGCTACAAACGCCTAATGTGCTGCAGGCCCTGTCTCCCTGAGAGGCCTCCCCACAGCCATCAGAAACGGGGGACCCACATGACAGCCCCTTACAGAGCCCCAGACCTCAAGAGCTCCCACAGGGCTGTACACCGGCTGACAGGCCTACAGCACAGCCTCAGGAAAATGTGGGAAGCAGACCTGGCTGTACTAACTACCAAAGGTCAAGTGGTGACCACACGCACCCAGGCTACCGAAGAAGAGGTTAAAGACTAACGACCTAAACACCTTGGGGGACAGTAAGACTACTGCAAGCCACTCAGGCAACCATGGCCAGGCAAGTCAACATACTTGATGACAGGGGCAGAAGCAAGAATGTCAAGATAAGAGGGGTCAGGGAATCCATACCACTAGAAGAACTACCTAACTTTATCAGACGCCTAGTGGCGGCAGTACTGCCAACGAGACAAGCCAAAGCCTTCTCATTCAACGGAATCTACAGGACCTCTAAATCCCCACAAGCCCCCCCACAACACCACGGGACCTTATCTTGCGGTGCCAAACTATGACAGACAAACTGGGACTGCTGGCTGCTTTGCAGGGAAAAACCCCCTTTGAATTTGAATCGTGCCAACTCTGAGTTTTTCAGGACTTAAGCAGGGCTACGTTACTGTGGCGCAAGAATATGCAATCAATTACTAGACTAGCTGGAATTGCTTACAGATGGGCAACACCTGGGGCAATATGGGTGACGAAAGAAGGTAAACACTATAAAGCCACTGATCCAAGAGAGGGCCCAGCCTTGCTGGCAGCATTGGGACTCCCCCAACAACATGAGAACTCTATGCCAACGCCTAACCCACAACCACAGAGCACAAGCACCACAGCTCGCACCAGACCCGGGGTAACGGGAGGAACCACAACCTGAGACAACTCTCAGCAACACCAGCCCTTCTACAAGTTAACCGTTGCGGTCTGCTATGACACCCCATTCACCAACTCAGTTGTTTAAGTTACTTATATATTATGCTTTCTTTATTTTTTGCTCATTTTAATATGATTTACTTGCTAAATATTGCATTGCAACGCACAAATTTCCCTACAATAAGCTTTAATGCTCCGGTGCCAAAACACCTCCCCCTCATCACCCCATGGATACAGGGTTTTACTATTATAGGAGCGCATCCCTCACGATCCACACACAACCAAATAGCGACACTATCCCTAAGATGGTTCATCTAGGCCTTCTGACCAACTAAGGCTCCTACTCGACTAGACCTCCACCACTAGTAATCTACAAACCGACTGCACCAAATAACATTTCCTAGTCCAGTTTAATATAGGCATCATTCTCTAGCACACACCACTTCACAAACCAAAGTGATATTTGCCATGCCAACCGAAGTACCCTCTACTAACCAGAGAACTGGCAACTGCACAAAACCTTCCAACGGCACAACTAAAATAGTACTCTATACAGACTAGATTACAAAATTTTCACGCCTAAGAACACACTCACCACTAATCCCAAAGGTCAAGGAACACCGATGACATATAGTCACCACATCCAGGCCTCTATATCTCCAAGGCCAGAAGTTCACAGACGGTGGTGCTGTTAACACACACAGATGAGTGGTCCACACTCTCCCAAGTTCAACCCACATCCCTCGTTATGACTTCTCAGCTCATTTACCTTACAAAAGATGCGAACTGTAAATCCATGACGCCTTGCATTACCTATGTTATATCATTCTGTAACATGTCATTACTGTCATATGTCTTTGCCTTGCTCGCATGAAAAATAAAGAATAAAAAAAACGAGAAAAAAAAAACCCAAAAGAACCAGAGACCATAAACTAAATAATTTAATCCATACAAAAAAAGAGGAGCGATATGGCAGTACTGCCACTATACTAAGGAAAAAGGAATTTACAGTAAGTAAAATTACTGTTTTTCCTCACGTATAGTGGAAGTACTGTAATAAGTGGGATATAGCAAGATCCCTGAAACAAAATAGGGTGGGAATTCAGTAGGCTACTGCTTGAGGCACCATTTGCCCAAAAGCAGCTTCAGAGGAAGAGAATATGTCCAGCCTATAATGTTTTATGAAGGTATGGAATGAAGACCAAGTAGTCGCCTTACAGATGTCTTCAGGGGAAGCTGCACATTTTTCTGCCCAGGAAGTAGCCATCGCCCTCGTGGAGTGTGCCTTTAATGGAAACTTGAGGGGAGTACCATGGGTTTCATAAGCCAATTTGTTAGCTTCTGTTAACCACCTGGCAATTGTAGGTCTGAAGGCTTCTCTACCTTTACTAGAGCCTTGAAATGTGACAAAGGTGGTCTGAGATTCTAAAGTCCTGTGACCTCCGAAGCTAGATTTCCAAAGATCATCTAGAAGATGCCACTTTCTTTCCAACTGTGAAGATTGAGACTGGCAAAAGGAAGGCAAAACAATGGGCTGGCCCATAGATTTCCTTGAAATAACTTTAGGTTAAAAGTAAGGCCTGGGATTCAAGATCATTTTGTCTTGGTGGGAAATGGTAAACTCAGATGCTGAAGAAAGAGTCTGCAGTTCTCCTATCCTCTTTGCGGAAGTTACAGCCACTAAGACTATAGTCTTGAGTGACAGCATCTTCAAAGAATCATCCTGTAATGGTTCAAATGGAGGTTCACAAAGAGCCTGAATGACCAACGAAAAATCCTAGGTAGGAAAAGTTGAAAGCTTAGGAGGTCGTTTCAGCAAGATTGACTTAAAATATCTGCGGATATGACGGTTGGAAGCTACATCATGCACAAGGACACAAGGAAGTGACTCAAGGATGAAATCTGGACTTTAAGTGTTGATACACCTACACCAGCTAGAAACCCATCCTGCAGAAAAGACAGAATATTAGGTATGTGTTATACCTGGAATGTAGGACACTGCCCTCTCACTTTAACTAGTGGCTCTACCCCTGTGATGACTCACAGGTCAGAGAGCATGGCAGTCATCTTGAGTATGTGAGTGTGATGCAGTGCTGCACAGAGGATGTTTTACTCCTATGTTCCTGTCAGTTATAATAAGACTGATTATACAGTAAATGTTCAGCAATAAAGCAAGGTTGTATAAAACTACTGGTCTCATATGTGAAGCAGTCAGGACCATAACAGTGGCGACGAAGATGGGATGTACAAAGGCCCTACCAAGCCTGCATTAGAAAATAAGAGGTAATCTCACTACATACAGCCAGCCACACAGCATCCAGCCAGGACATGGCACTGTGAGTTTGATGGGGAGCAAAGATCCTGGACAGAAAGATTAGAGCATTACTTCAGTGCAAACACCATAGCCCCTGAACGGCAGGTAGCTGTATTCCTGACACTGGTGGGAGCTAAAACATATGACACTGTAAGTGACCTTCCTTTCCTTGATAAACCAGCAAGCAAAATACTGGTGGAACTGCTAAAACTATTAGAGGATCATTTCCAGCCCAACCCACTGGAAATTGCAGAAAGATTCTGCTTTTACCAACGGCAGCAGCAGTCAGGGGAAGATATTAAAGCATATGTGGTAGCCATTCGCAAACTGGTCTCCACCTGTTCATCTGGAGAGTAAAAGAAGTCTTCAGAGCGGCAGTCACACCAGCTACGGCCAACTGCAAATACAGATTCACACCCAGACCAAGCCAGCTTGCTACCGGTGTGGTAATACAGACCATGGTTCCAAAACATGTAGATTTAAAGACCAACCTTGCCACTACTGCGGAAAAATGGGCCAGCTAGGACAAATCTGTCGTAGTAGGAATGTACGGGAAAAACAAGAAGAAAACATACAGGGTAGAGAAACCTACCTCTTCATCTGAGTCAGACAATGAACCATTGCACAGATTAAAGGACCACTATAGTGCCAGGAAAACATACTCGTTTTCCTGGCACTATAGTGCCCTGAGGGTGCCCCCACCCTCAGGGACCCCCTCCCGCCCGGCTCTGGAAAGGGGAAAAGGGGTAAAACTTACCTTTTGGCGCTGGGCGGGAGAGCTCTCCTCCTCCGCCGCCCGGCTGAATGCAAGCGGCAGCGCGCATTCAGCTCGCAGGGCATTTACAATGCCTTCCTCGCGCTGGCGTGCACTGTGCACAGTGAGAAGCAAGCGCCTCTAGTAACTGGCAATGAGCAGCCACTAGAGGATAGAAGGCTTAACCCATTCATAATTATAGCAGTTTCTCTGAAACTGCTATAATTATGAAAAAATGGGTTAACCCTAGAAGGACCTGGCACCCAGACCACTTCATTAAGCTGAAGTGGTCTGGGTGCCTAGAGTGGTCCTTTAACTATACATCGCCTACACTCTTCAAACCCTGCAATGATGGAAGAAGTAACCATTGAAGGAAAGGCATTAAAGATGGATGTTGATACAGGAGCGGCAGTTTCAGTTATCCCACAAAAACACTGGAGACAACTACATATACAGACAACTATCCGCCAAACCCCAATCAAGCTGCAGACATATTCCATGCCAGTCCTCCACCCAGTTGGTTGTGCAAAGGTAGAGGTATCACACAAGGGTCAGACAAAGAGACTACCAATATATACTTTGAAACACGGAGGACCACCTCTCTTTGGTAGAGATTGAATTGCTCATCTGGGAATGCCAGACATCATCAAGAACCCTTGAAGCTCAAGTTAAAACTGGATGCCCAACCTAGGTTCTTCAAGGCCCAGACAGTACCATTTGCCCTTCGAGCAGGATTGGAAGCAGAACTCATCCGGCTAGAAGAACAGGGTGTCATTTCCAAGGTAGAGCTATTTACTGTTGTGCCAGTAAAGAAATCAAATGGGGAATTACGCATGGTACTGAATACTCAACTGGATGTAGACCAGTATCCTCTACCCAGAGTAGATAACATCTTCGCTTCACTTGCTGGGGGACAGAAGTTCACTAAGACTGATCTCCGACAAGCCTATCTATAGTTTGAGATCCACCCTTCTTCCTGAAAATACCTTACCATTAACACTCACAAAGGCTTGTACGAATACAACCGGATGGTGTTTGGCATAGCACCTGCACCAGCCATCTGGCAGAGGAAGATGGATGCAATCTTAGCAGACATTCCCTTCACACAGTGTCTATTAGATGACATGCTCATCACTGGTCGAACGGACCAAGAACACAAACAGAATGTAGAACAGGTTTTACAAAGACTTCAGGTCCATGGTCTCAAGGTGAACTTGGCAAAACACAAATTTATGCTGCCCAAATCGTACCTTAGCCTCCTCAACTGCTATAATAAATTTCTCCCAGACCTGGCTCACACCTTGTTCCCACTGCATAAGCTTTTAGAGAAACACTCCAGATGGTCTCCAAACAAACTATTGGGCTCACGTATGCTTGTACACTACGACCTCCACAAGTCTCTCACATTGGCTTGCGACGCCTCGCCTTATGGTCTGGGTGCTGTACTTTCCCACCTCCTACAAGATGGTTCTGAGAAACCAGTGGCTTTCTCCTCGAGATCATTGACAAAGACAGAACGCAACTACTCTCAGACTGATAAAGAGGCACTTGCATTGATATGGGCAATTCGGAAGTTTCACCTTTACCGCTATGGTAGAGAGTTCACCATATTAACATATCATAAACCTCTACTTCAGATATTTAGTCCAGACAAAGGGATCTCCCAGACAACTGCAGCCGGTCTTCAGCCCTATGCCCTGTTCTTGGGCGCGTATAGCTACCGCATACAATATCGAAGCCATGATGCTAATGCCAATGCCAATGCAATGTCCCGCTTGACAGCTTCCAGATTCTTCTTCAGCTGTCAAGACTTGTAGGTACACCACCACACACCTACTGACTTCTGGAGAGATAGCAGCCCATACGGTGAAGGATAATGTTCTGAAATCTGTGTTTTCGTTTACACAAACTGGCTGCCCAGCGACTATTACAGAAGATTACGAACCTTACTACCGGAAGCGAATGGAATTGGCTGTGAATGACAATTGTGTCTTATGGGGAGAACGAGTGACCATTCCAAAATCCCTCCCAGAGACATATCTTTGACTGGCTACATACTGGTCATCCTGGTACCACACGGATGAAACAGAAAGCACGAGGGTACATGTGGTGGCCTAACATAGATGCTTAGATAACAGCATATGTCAATGCTTGTATAGGATGTGCACAAGCTGCAAGAGACCCTCCCAAAGGAAGTATTCAGCCCTGGACTTGGCCCATGGTTCTTTGGTTTCGCCTTCACTTGGATTTTTCAGGTCCAATAAAAGGGCAGACCTTCTTGATTATAATTGACGCCAACTCGAAAGGGTCTGAGGTCTTTCCAATAACCCAGCCGACTGCAAAAGCCATGATTGCCATATTATTGCACCTTTTTGCCACATTTGGTTATCTCAGGGAGATTGTTACAGATAATGGGGCCTGTAACGGCACCCCCCAGACATAAAAGGGGTTAAACCACCGTTTAGAAGATGTTCCCCTTCCAGAGACAAAGACACAGCTACCGCAGAACCCCAAACTCCCAAACAGGATACAAAGTAGCACTCCAAACTCCCAAACTGGAACCTCACGAATAGCTGCTAGAAGCTGAACAGGAAAAGCACCCAAGCGGCTAACACTACTGGCAATCAGTCTCTAACGGCATACAGTAAATCCCCCCAAGAACGAGACAAGGGTCGTGTTGAGGGTCAAGCAGTGAACAGACAGAGTTGTGAGTTTATTGTTCTTATATACACATTCTTAAACATTAGTACCACCCACAGGGTTTTGTAAAACAACCAATAAACACGTAATACACAGTAAAACACTCCCATTATTACATCACAATCCCTCCTCTCTATCCTGGAGATAACTGGGAAGTAATCCAATTATCTCCAAGGACAGAGGCAAAACTCCATTAAGCACATGGCAGTAAAAAGACAGTAAAATACAATAAAATACACAAGGTTACATTTATTACATAAAATACAGACATGCAACATATCCCAAGATAGCTTAGGTCTGAGCGCACATTATTACTGAATGGCGCTCAGACCACACACATACAGTTCAATTGCCATGGAGCCAAAGTCTTTTATTACATGAATAGGCTCCATGGCATAGCTATCTGGGTTAAATGAGTTCATTCAGTAAATCTGTGAATGAACCGGCCACGTGTGAACTGCAGACGGCTGCCATCCAGTGTTCAGTATGCGTAGCCGTGGCCACCCGGTATAGTCAATTAAGCTGCGGTTAACCGCAGCTTCTGGACGGCCAATTAACGGCGCCTGCCAGCTAACTGTGATTCCTGGGAGGCCAATAGACGGCTGTTTGTTCGGTAGACAGAATCTACCGAACGCCCGGGCAGAAATACATGAATAGACCTTTCTGCATAGAAAATAAAGTATTTAAATGCCGGTCCATAGTCAAAAGGCAGCAGGCAGGCAACTAGGCTCCTCCAATGCACAGTGGCGAGATTGGTCTCGTCACAGGGCCCAATTCACGAGCCATGAATTTCAGAGTTTTGCTACTGTGTAATAACATAAAGCACAAGTTAACTGCGATTTACCACCCAGCGACCAATGGTTAAGCAGAACGGTTTGTGCAAACTATGAAGAACTACTTCAAGGCCACAGTGCCTTCAACTAGCCAGAGGTCCATATCTCCTCAGAAGTTAGACTCTTTTCTCTTTGCTTACAGAACAACACCACATGCTACAACTGGTACAACACCAGCTGAGCTTCTTCTTGGCCAACGGCCATGGACTGCTTTTGACATGCTTCGTCCTAAAACTGTTCATGACCATGTATTGCACTCCCAAGACAAGATGGTAACCTCCCAAGAGTCTCCCACTTTTAGAGTCTGGACTCGATCTTATGGATCCTCCAACACTCAGTGGCTTCCTGCCACAATTGTGGAACCTTTGGGACCCAAGATGAGATGTACAGAGTTCACCTGGAAGATGGTTCCATTACCAGACTACATGCCGACCAGTTCCGGTCCCGCTGCCGCTTACCTGAATTCTTTACCCAAAAGCTTCCTAAGCCCAAATCCAGTGAATGCACCTACAGGGGTGGCCTGTGCTTCTGGGTGTGAGGGTTCTCATGCCCCTGAACCCATTTTCCCGACCTTGAACCAAGCACCTTCCCATTTTTCCTGTCCTGCTACCTCTGACACATTGATTGCTGGTGGCCGTCCCCAACGCCATTGTGGCGAAACCGACTTCGCCACTGGGCATTGGAGAAGACTGATTGCCAGCCTCCTGCCATGTGACTATGGCCCCTGGGATGTATTGCCCTTTAAAGACATGATTTGGGCATAATGGATTTGTGTTGTGCTGCTGCTGGCCCTTTAAGAACCATCTGGGGACATACTGTGGAGTTACTGGGTGGCCACCATTTCCTGTATCAGAGGCACATGGTGATAACAATGGATGAAGCACATGGTGAGAACAATGGATGGCGGCCATTTTAACTCACAGACACGTTTGGACTTTTCAACACGGTGCCATCTCGCCAGTGTTTGGTGCACAGAGACATCATGCAGTGGTTTTGGACTATACAGCAGGGGACACATTATACAGTGATTGTTTTTCATTTAGTCTGTATATGTTCTGCAGAATCTGCATTAAACTGTATCTTCCAAAGTACTGAATGGATCTGGGTGAATTTCGGATGTGTGTTCACCCAGATCCCCCGGTTCCAAGGATATACTTTTTATGGGGTTATTGCATGTTTTGGGGTTCCTGTGATGTGTTTTATGAAACTGTATTTCTCTGTCTGTGATAATTAGATTACCCATTGTGTAAGGTAATTGTATTACAGGCAGAGGGGAGGATTTTGAGTTATGCAGTGCTGCACAGAGGATGTTTTACTGCTGTGTTCCTGTCAGTTATAATAAGATTGATCATACAGTAAATGCTCAGCAATAAAGCAAGGTTGTATGATCTCATATGTGAAGCAGTCAGGACCATAACAGGAGGAATTAACTGGAACGCAGCCTTTCAGAACACACTAGTTCACAAACTTTAGCCAAATCCTAAGATAAATCTTGGACGTTGATGAACAGACAGATGCCAAAATAACCTCTCTCAATTTGTCTGAAAGTCCCTGCTCATGGAGGATCATCCTTGCAGCATCCACGCCGTCAGTTTGAACATTTCCAGGGTCTCTTCTTGAAGATATGGAAGATAATTCTCTATGAAGTTGCTTGAAATTGGAAAAACCCAGCGTGAAAGTGTCATACGCTCTGGAAAACCAGCTTCGGTTTGGCCATAAGGGAACAATGGCTAGAACCCTTGCTTTTTCCCCATCTGATCTTTTGAATTATCCTTGGTATCAAGGCTACTGGAGGGAAAACATATCCCATGTTGAAGTTCAAGGTGAGGGACAAGCCGTCTAGGAAGTCTGGAAAATTCATTGCCTGGATAGAAGCAAAGCGTGGGACTTTCCTGTTTTTTCTTGTGGCCATAAGATCGATGTCTGGTAAGCAGAATCAGAAAGCCAGTCTAGAGAACATCTGGGGTTTTAGAGATCAATCCGCTTGAGACCAACGTTGTCTGCGGAGGTCATCTGCGATGACGTTCTGAGTACCTCTGATATGAGTTTCTGAGAGCTACTTTTGACTGTGCCCAAGACATGATACGGTAACACAGATCCTGTAGAGAATTTACTTTTGTGCCTCCTTGACGGTATAAGTAAGCAACAGTGGTGGCGTTGTCAGACTGAATCCTTCCGACTTGGTCTGCAATGACAGGACTGAAAGCTACCAGAGCATTAATAACTGCCTTCAGAGCTCCGAAGTTTGAGGACTCTTGCTTCTTTCGAAATCCATCTCCCCTGAATGAACTGTGAATCTAGATGGGCACCTTAACCAGTTTGGGAGGCATCTGTTGTGATGGTAATGCATCTTTTCTGTTCGAATGAAAAGCCTCTGGAAAGGCTGTCTGCATTTTTCCACCAATTTAGTTGTTTTCTTATTGTGCTTGACAGGCAGATAACTGCATACAAATCTTCCTTCTTTCTTGACCATTCCGCCAGAATGTTCCATTGTAAAGGTCTGATTTCTGCTTTTGCCTATCCAACCGCTGGGATTGCAGAGGTGAGAAGTCCCAGGACACTCATGGCCTGTCTGATAGTGCAAACTTTTTTCTTTTTTAAGCTTAAAACTGCCTTTATAATTCTTTTTTGCTTTGACATAGGAAGAAAAAGCTATTGGTCTTTATAATCCAATTGTTTGTTGTCGTCTCCTTCCACTTCTGAGAAATGAACCCGAAGACGACCTCCCATTCTTTTGGCGTCAAGATCTCTTCTTTTTGTCTTTGTTATTGAGTTGTGTCTCCATATTACTTGCAAATTCTCCAACAATTTTAATGGTAGCTGTCCAGTGAGCTGATATCTTTTTTTGGCTTGAGATTCTGAATATCTGGAATCCTGAGGTAATGCCTTTTTGGTTTCAGACATATGTTTAATAATTTCTTCCAGAGAAGTGCCAAATAATTTGTTCCTCTCGAAAGGGAGTTCACATAAAGGTAGTTTTGAAGCAGAGTCCACAGTCTGAGCCATAAGGCTCTTCTGGCCATCGAGGATAAACCCATTATCCGAGCCGATAATCGAAGCATCTCATCAGAGACATCCGATAGAAATTTATTAGAAGGTTTCACAAGAAACAACAGCTGGGCTGGGTCTTTCTCTGGTTTTCTCATAAGGGATTCTTTTTAAGGTTTGTAACCACATGCCCTTGGCTTTCAGAAATGCTGAACCAGCGATTCCGGCTTTGCACTGATATCGAGCAGGAGAATATTTCAGGCCGCGTGCTGTTTCTGCCCACTTGTCCACGGGATCTTTTAAACCAGAAACCTCACCAATTGGGATTGTGGTTTTCTTTGATAATTGTGCCACCTGGATATCGACTTTAGGAAGTTCTACCTCTGTCTGTAGTTTAAACAGTTGTTTGAAGTGCTTAGAAATGAAAGCACGTCTTTCTGGGTTTTTCCCACTCCCTCTACAGCAGTTCCATAACCCTTGGGCGCATAGGTAAACCTTTTACCTTACCCTTGGTAGGTACAATTTCCTGAACAACCGCCGATACTTCCCTGATAAATGTCTTCAATTTCTCTGGTGAAAATCCCTCATCCACACTTGATGCCAGACTGGAAACCTCCGAAAGGGAAGATGAACATTCACCTGATGAGAGCTCAGACAGGGATGGGGATCTTTCTCTCCTTCGTTTCTTTACCGGTCTGTCTTGAATATAAACAGACCCACTGTCTTTTTTAATAGTATCTTTAAAGGACTTGAAGGTCTGGGATAAATTCACCTGAAACTAGGTCATTTCCTTTTGCTTGGATTTTTCGACCAATTCTGTCAAGCACTGATTACAAGTCTTTTTTCTCCACACGTCAGGTAGAGACACCCTACATTCTGAGCAACACAAATATTTTGTTTTGCTCATGGCCTTTTTAGGGATAGGAGCTGACGTCTCATCTTTCTCAGCTTTATTCTGTGAAGCAGGACTGGACATATTCTGTAGACAAACAAAAAAAACAACTAATTTTCTAACTTAGGAGGTATGCGATAAAGGTTAAGTTTTCAAGGGAGATTTAAAGTAAATTCCCACCTCAAAAACATCACCTCTGTGTAGGAGAGCTGGTAACATGAAGTACCTGTTCTTGCAACCACCCCACCTTGTAATTTCGAATTTAGTGCCAAATGTACAAAATTCCGATCGGCGCATGTGCTGTAGCGCGATCGAAAGTTCAGTGGAACTCAAACGCCTTCTGGGCGTGTGTTCCACTGCTGTGCGCATTGGCCCGTCCTGTAATGTGGGAGGCCCGCCAAGGACCTCCCAGGAACTGGCCACATAAGCAGGCTACTAGTTGCGTTCCATAACGCAACGCAATGGAAGCCTCTGCCGCTCAGCTCCGTTGGTAGCTTTCGGGCACTCACCTCCACGGCCAGCAGCCTGTGCTGACCGCACCGATATTCTTTTCACCTATGCCTGGAGGAGCCTGTCTGTCCCGTGTGCCGGGATAAGAAGAAGTGGGGGAACCTTGGAGGTACAGGAGTTATAAGGGAAGCAGCAGGGGGGCTCTTAATTGAATATTTAAATTTGGGGGGGAAGCTTCTTGTCCACTGGAGAAGATACAACCCACTTGTTACAGTACTGCCACTATACGTGAGGAAAATTCTTATATGTAAAAAGGTGTTTGTTTTTCTAATTTGTACCCTTTTTTAATTTCTTTCACATGTAATGTTGTGTTAGGCGTACATATAGGATAGTAAATCCGTCCTTAAGGGGTTAACCTCTACATTACGGATATTTCACACTCTATTAAAGTCTAATATTTTCAATTCAATTTAACTGGTTTATTAACCCTAGAAGTCCAGTAAGAGGAGATACATTTTCTGCCAGTAGGTGTGTTGCACTTGCGGTAACATCATGGTAGTGTGTGTGATTTATTTAATAGTTACAACAGGGCTCGAAATTCTAAGTCCTATGCTACTAGACAGGGTTAAAATTGACTTGCCACTGCCAGCCAGTAGCCAATAGCTTTTTAAAATGTTGAGCCTGTTACATAATAATTTCATTATAGGATTTTTTATGGTTATCAGTACTTCTGTACATCACAAACTGTTGTATAGTGTAGATGCATTCACTCAAATACCACAGGGCTAGAGGCAATGGAATCCTGCTCAAGTGACCCATAAGGTAAGTAACCGCTGTACTCTTATTCTCAGGTAAAGCATTTATTAAACCAACATCCAGCAGGTGGCCAGCACCTTCATCAAGTCTGGGCTACATGAGTGCAAATGTTGCTTTTAAAGGTGAACATTTTAAATATTTAGACAGACACACACACACACACACAAATGTACACACTCACTCAAGGCTAAGGATTCATTGTTACTGCTAATTTTGGAAATTTCACTCACAGTAAATTAGTGTTTCCCTTACTAGTCCACTTACTGTTCCATTTATGCTTTAAAAGTAATGGTTTCACTTGTGCAAACGAGGCCTGACGAAGTCTGTAAGTGCCTAAATGTTGTCAGGTCTATCTTGTTATTTTGATTCTATCAATTAGACAGAATAAATATATTTTTGAGAATCAAAGAATGGTTCTTAATGTAATTTATTTTAATCTGTAGATGAAATAATTAGATGGACGCTCCATTACCTAAATAGAAATAAACCATTATTTAGTAGATATGAAAACATGCATGTATTTAATTATGCATTTTGCATTGGGGTATATCTAAAAAAATGTTGTCTGCTGCCTTTGCAATCCCTTGACTTGCATCCCCAACCCAGACTTTCAATGGCTGTCAAAACACAGAATTTCCAATGCAGCTCAATTAGAAGTCTTTGCAAGGCAGGTGCCCTGGGCAATTGTTTGTCGCTTAGCTTCACTGTGCAAATCAAACCAGGAAGTAACAGGACAGTTATCTGATTCGCAGCCAATGGGTGTAACCAGGTTAATTTATTAAAGGGCCAATTTCTATTGAAATCTGCACAAAAAAAAAAATTTGTAAAATAAAAAAGGGGAAGCACTCTTCACAAGTAACAGCGCTTTAGTGGTTAGGAGTCATCGTCTAATCTTTTATTCAGGACTCATTCAGCCTAGCGTATATGTCTGAAACTAATATTTTCTTATCAAAAATAAATCATTAAGGCTTTCATTTTTATTTTATAGTATTGCTTTGTCCTACAGAGGTTTGCTGGATGAATACAGGTATCCTTGTGACTGTTTTATTCCACTATCTGGACTGAAAGAAGTTTGATATTGTACCAGTTTCCCAGTTTCTAGTTTTAAAACAGTTTCATTCTCATAATTTAATATTATCTGCTTCAGTATTAATTTTAGTAAATGAGAATTCAAACAGCAAATAATGGAGTTCTCAGTATGGACACTCACTGAGCAGACAGGTTTCTTAAATTCGGCAATCTGGAGGGAATTCTAGAAATGGAGATACAAGTGGGTTTACCTTGCGTGGTTTCTCTGGAGTGGGAGCATCTTCCACTGAAGCTTCGACTTCACTGGCAGGAATCCATGTGTCATAACTAGAGTGGGAGTAGAAATAACACATAAAACTCTTAAAGGATAATAGCTGAGGGCTTGCAGTATGATATCTAGAAGCAGGCCATAATCTACAAAGATATTTCTAACTGTTGCAGCAGTGCATTTCCTGTTTAAAATAGACAGAGGAGCTAAATTATACAGGTTTTTTACATTGCTTAATGTGCAGCTCCTGAATTTATTTCCTTATAATTTTTCCATTTCATACATTAGTTCTAAAACATCACTTTCTGAAGTTACTATTTGATACAAAATCTACACACTTCATATCTAGCATACTAATCAAGTTAAAGGGACAGTATAGTCACCAAGAGAACTTTAACTTAATGAAGCCGTTTTTGTGTATAGATTATGCCTCTGAAGTCTAGCTGCTCAATTTTCTGCTATTTAACAGTCAAATCACTTTTGTTTCTGTCCATATAGCCCTAGCCACGCCTCCCCTAGGTGTGATTCATACTGCCTGCATGAAAAAATGGTTTCATTTTATAACCAGATATTAACTAATTTTAGAACTTTTTTGAACTCCTGCTCTGAACTCGAAGCACACATAAGAGGCTCCTGCAAGGTCTAGCAGGCTATTACAGTGGTTGAGACAAGACATTATACTTTAAACAGACTGTGTAATAAAGGAACTTTAAACATTAGATCTCACTTTACAGGAAGTGTTTAGGAGACCTGTGTAAGTCACATGCAGGAATGTATTACTTGGACTGCATAAACAAAGTGATTTAACTCCTAATGGCAGAGAATTTGAGCAGTGAGATTGCTTGTGCATGATTTATACACCAAAACAACTACTGTTTTGGTGACTGTAGTGTCCCTTCAATTTAGATTTCCAAAGTTTTAAGAAGTATGACAGTAATCTGGATGTTTAAGTAGGATTTATAATTAACAAGTTTAATGATTGAAAGTGAACATCCTTGAAATTCGCCAAAAATAAATTAAAACTTATTAGCTAAACAATCTAAAACTGTTATTAAAATTATCTCTGGCATCACTGGTGAAATCTTTGAAATCTGAGGATCTGATAAAGTAAAAGCTACACTGTCACAAATAACTGATACAAGATTGACTAATCTTTACTTTTAATGCTAAATTTAGATTACTGCCTCTCAAGGGTGTGCCATCAGGTACTGGATCTGTACCATGTACTTATCCACACATTGTGAATTAATAAATGTTGACAGCACATTTATCTTTGTGGGTTAATTATTTAACAGGTTTAGCATTATACTACTAGGACGGAGTTTAAATTTGTATTTAAGGAGCAGCTAGTGCAGTGGTTCCCAACCCAGTCCTTGAGTAACCCCTAACAGTCCAGGATTTAGGGATTACCCAGTTGTGTCTAAGGTGTTTTTTAAGAAAGAAAATACCAAAACAGTTTAGACACAACAGGGTAATCCCTAAATCCTGCACGGACAAATCCGAGGCGCTCCCGCTGCGTCTGCCAACGGGCCTGCTACCCCGGTTGCAAGCCAACTTCTCCTTCAAGTGGTGCCCGCACCGTATTAAATACCTGGGGATTTGGTTGACGAGGGACCTGAGTGCACTTTACCGTGATAATTTCCTGCCCCTACAAACTAGACTACGCTCCGATATGTTGAGATGGGGGGCTATTCCAATTCGACTTCCCCAGGCCTTCTTTAACACCATGAATACGGACATCAGAAGATTTGTGTGGAAAACGGGGACAGCGAGACTTAGGCACACGCTCCCGATCCAGCCGAAACACCTGGGTGGGGTGGGCCTCCCGGACCTGCAATCCTATTACTTCGCCACCCATCTCCTTCGCTTAGTGGATTGGCATGTCCCCCAGACGGATAAGCACTGGGTCCACCTGGAACGCACGCAGGCTGCGGGAAGACTTCCGTGGGTGGGGTGGCTCCCCCGCCCCCTACAAACTAGGGATCTCCGGGAACTTCCGCTGATCGGGGCGACACTGAGGGTATGGTCAAACCTCCGGTTCAAATTGAGCCTCTCCACAAGCCCGCCCCCCTTGACGCCGGCAGTCTTTAATCCGGATATAGCTGGAGGCCTGGCACCGAAAGACGTGGAAGGACTGGGAAATCTGGGCGAGCTGCACCTGAGAGATTGGTGCGTGAATGGTTGGGTTTGTACTTTCGAGTCCCTGCAGTCACAGGCACGGATCACCGGGCTGCTGCGGTTCCGATATCACCAGATCCGAAACTCATGCCACACGCTACCTGGCTCCCAACTTATACACAGGGACCTGACATATTTTGAGTCACTGTGCGCATCTCGGTCCTCTACGCCGCCTTGCTCATGGCCATTCGACTGCCGCCGGCCCCTTACCAGTCGCAATGGGAGCAGGCGACGGGGAAGGACCTGTCAGAAGCCGATTGGGGGAGGATTCATACTCTGACACACCTGGGAACTGTTGACACCAAACTTAGGGAGCTTAACTACAAGCTCCTGACTGGATGGTACAGGACACCCGCTAGACTACACCACATGGGCCTCACGCCAACAGCCCAGTGCTGGAGATGTGGGTCGGCGGATGGCACGGACTTGCACATATGGTGGACATGTCCTCCTATAGCCACCTTCTGGTGACAAATTCATGGGAAGCTGAGGGAAGTCTTGGAATCGGAGATACCACTGCTACCCCTCCCGATGCTGCTCCATCACACTGACATGCCGATTGGCAGCTACAAAAAATCCTTAACGAAGCACTTCCTGAATGCGGCCAAAAGCCTAATTCCTACTAAATGGAAAACTCAATTAGTGCCAACGATCTCGGAATGGGAGGATAAGATAGAAGACATCTTTGTTATGGAAAGCCTCACGGCAGACTTACATGGCACTGGAGAGCAGTGTTCCCGACTATGGGGCCCCTGGATTACCTATAGAGCACGCCGACCCCTGGGCGCCGACCTGACCAATGCATGCCCTGAGTCGCAGGCCGCGGGCCGTGCGCCGGAGATTGGTGGTGGGTCCCCCTGCCCTTGACCGAGCCGCGACGCTCTTCACCTCATCCTCCCACCCTGTCCCCCCCCCCCACTTCCTTCTCCTCCCCTCTTCTCCCTCAGGCCCTTCCCTGCCCCTCGGAGCCTCTCACATGCACGGGCGAGGCCAGACGGTGGTGCCACGGGCCTGGGCGGCCAATTCGGCCTGTACCAGACGATCGCCTGTGGACGGACTTTACCCAGCTCAGAACTGCGACACAAGACTGACAGACTCCCCTGCCCGCCACAGTCTCCATTAGGCAAACGTGGGAACCACCTTCATCCTTCTAGACCCGTCCCCCACATAGCAGAACAGACCGCGGGGGGGCACTTCACTGACACGATAGTGGATGACTGGAAGTGACTGGTTGGCGAGTCTATTGGGATACATGACGGGTCCCCTAGTGATCCTGTACGGTTGCTACGACACAGTATATACTCCCTGACGAGTAAAGACTAAGAGATTAGAGTTAAGGGCAGTGATAACCCCCGACTAATACTTCATGGGCGGTAGACTGGAAAGTAGCAAATAGGCCAAGGTCGGGCAGGATAAAAACCGGAGCCTTCATGTCGCCTCCACTACCCTAGGCCACACAATCGACACCTCTGCGGGTTGTGGCGCAAGACCAGCCGTGCTCTGATACCGGCTACCAGTGTAATATACGTATTTCTCTTGATAATAGCGGATAAACTGGCCTAAACGCGCATTCCTGATGCCCGCTAGTAGCCCTAGGGTCTCCCTGCTTAATGTAATGCAATGTACAACTGTTGTTGGCGTACCACGGCATTATCTTCTCATTGTACTGCGGTGCTGAACTCTTGTTTACTACCTTGTATGTATTCGTTAAAATGAAAATAAAGATTGTCAAAAAAAAAAATCCCTAAATCCTGGACTGTTAGGGGGTACTTGAGGACTGGGTTAGAAAACCCTGAGCTAGCGTAAAAAACACAGTTATTCACTTAAAGGAACACTATAGTCATCAAAAAAACAGCTTAAGATAGCTGTTCTGGTGAGTATAGTCAGGCTTTTTGCTGCCTTTTCTCTTACATTGCTGCCTAGGAACACCTCCAGTGGCAGTCACTCATACAGCGACTAGAGGTGCTTCCTGGTCAGTGCTGTTTAGTGTCTCCACGCTCTGCATGGAGGTGCTGAACTTTCCCTATAGAGATGCATGGATTCAATGCATCTCTATGAGAAGATACTGATCGGCCACACTGCACTGGAATAAAGTTACACTTTCAACTTATTTAAGGCAGGTGGGGGGGGGAAAGGGCAGCCAACTAGTGTTTGAAAACAATAGGGTCAGAAAACATGTACATACAGTGTTCCTTTAAATCCAAATGCATCCATTTCAGATTATCAAAAATAATCCAGTACCAGAGAAGACAACTGGCCACAAAATATAGACATTATTCAAGATGTATCAATGTCTGGATTTTGCAATACTGCATACGAATGAATGTAGACAATATTTTAGGCTATCCATATGCAACTGAAAGGGTGAAATCCAGGATAGAATAATGTAAATACACAACTGAATGCTCAAACACAATAACTAGATTGGCACTTGTCTGTCTGCAAATTATGGTCAACTGAATTTCCACAATTTAGTTACACATTTCCTGTAAAAAGAGAACTTAATGTAATACGTTCTATATTGCACAGTGTGTTTAACTTAGAATTTTTTTATCTCCTACTCTGTTACCATCCTGTGGAAGCTTACTGTGGATGATTAAAGTTCATATAACAGAGCAGGCGATAAAAACCTAACGTAAACACAATGGGCTGAGTTAGAACTAAAACTTTTTTTTATGTATGCTGTCTGATTCACAGCCAGCGGAGGTGTGGCTAGGGCTGCATAAACAGAAAAAGAAGTGATTTAACTCCTAAATAGCAGAGAATTGATCAGTGAGACAGCAGTGGCATGATTTATACACTAAAACCAATTCATTAAGCTAATGTTGCTAGAGTATCACTTTCTAATTGATCAGGATTAAAAAACACATTACTTCGGGTTACTTTTTACTCACTGTGGTATCTAGTACCAAGACATTATCAGCACTTCCTTTAAGTCCTGCACATTGTGAGGTGGGGTTTCGATGGTTTAGATTTGTTGTTCCAGCACTCCCACAGATGCTCAGTTGGACTGAGATCTGGGGAATTTGGAGGCCAACACCTCAAAATCTTTGTCATGTTCCTCAAACCATTCCTGAACCATTTTTTTGCACAGTGGCAGGGTGCATTGTCTTGTTGAAAGATGCCACCGCCATCAGTGAACAAAACCACTACCATGAAGGCGTGTACGTGGTCTGCAACAATCTCTAGGTAGGGTGTTATGTATCAAAGTAACATCCACATAAAAACAAGGAACCAAGGTTTCCCACCAGAACATTGCCCAGAGCATAACACTGCCTTCAACGGCCTGCCTCCTTCCCTTCGTGCCTACTGCTGCCATCTCTTCCCCAGGTAAACGACGTACGTGCACCATCCCATGGACCTGATCTAAAAGAATACGTGATTCATTAGACCAGACAAGCTTCTTCCATTGCTCCTTAGTCCAGTTCTGATGTGCACATCCCCATTAAATGTGCTTATGGTGGGGGACAGGGGTCATCAGAGGCGTTCTGACTGGTCACTGATTTTTCCCCCATTTATTGCAACTCATGCACAAAACCCTACTTGTGGCATGCAATTCAAATGCAGAAAATACCTTTCCTAATAGTCAAATGTATTCTATAATTTGCATGTAATGCTGCATGGTGGTTAATTACCATAAGCTAAATTACCATATTTGAAGCTGATCCCCAAATGCATCTCTAACTGCATTTAGTAAATGATTGGAATTGCAGTTTCCAGACAATTTCCCATTTTAGCTTAGTGAATAGCTCCAAGTGACAGTCCATATCATTCTGCATGAACAGAAGATCAAACAATAAAAGGTAGTAGTGAAAAGGACAATCACTCAGGTGCACTGCTCAAAACATGTAAGACTTTGAACCCAATTCTAATATAAAGTAAGTGACAATTACATATAAAAGCTTTAACATTTGCTTGTAATGCATTTTGTTTTAGCAAGCTGCAGTTTAGACAAAATAAAGATGCAACGAAAAAGAAGAAAAAAAAAGAAAAAGAAATTGAAGCTGTATTTTAATTAGCTATTTGTTATACAATGAAAACACAGCATGAACTAAAGCCACAGTCAACGACCAAAAACTGTGCATAGTGTGGACTATTTTTTGTTTAGTTAATCCTACCTGTCAGGATAATAACCCCAGTGAAGAAGAACTTGCTTGTCTCTCTTCATTATGGGCCGTACCCACTCTTCTGAAAAAGGGATTTGAAAAAGAAGAAGAAAAGACAAGATTGATTATTAAGATTATGTTCACAGTGGTCAATTTTTTTGCATTTTTTTCTCTCAATGTGGTGACACCAAAGTCAGCTGTGTGAATGGACAATGTTTCTGCATTTAAAAAAAGCGAATATCAGATACACCAACTCAACCTAAAATAAAAATAGAAACCCCCACAGATTGTTGATCATTCTGTGAGTGTATGTCAATAAAAAAAAAAAAAATATATATATATATATATATATATATATATATATTTCTGCTGTATATGTGATCTAAATCATAAACTATATTAAAAAAAATAACATAATGGGCACAGTTTAAAACTTTGCTCCATCGCTGGTCCTCACCCTGCACGGAAACAAATTTCTCTGCTATGTCTCCTTTCTACCCCTCTGCTTTTATGCAGATGGATTGCAAAGAAGAGTCTGCACTGTCTCTTCCAACAGTTTACAGCAACCTTTTTAGGTCAATATTCACATCTATATTCCAACAGCATAGCAAACAGCTCTTTTCACATGGAGTACACCTTGCAGATACTTTGTAGGATACAAGCTACAATAGCAGCTTGCAAAACTTTGCATATGACAGATGCTTGGAGAAATCAAGTTTACATATCCCAAAAATATACTATTTTAAGTTGTGTTTATGTACTAGATACTTATCCCATGGTTCAAAAATATGGACTGCCATTTATTTAAAAAAAAAAAAAAAAAAACTTGGTAGCAAAGTGGTTAAGCAGTAAGGTATCAGTTCTAATACAGAACACATAGACCCCAGGATGTAGCATGCCCACTAGAGGATAATTAAATATGAAAAATTAAATATATATGGTCAAATTGTGTTTTCCTCCCACTCTGATCAAGCTTCATGTCTGGTAAGTCTTGTTTCTAACTTATGGGCATTACACTCTATAATGCATGAATCTGCCAGTGGTTACATAGATTGTATGGCAATTACATTTCATACTGCAGGATTCTGCCAGTGGTTACATTGATGTGTGGCCAATATATAATCTATATTGCAGATTTCCGACTTTCGTTACATAGATTTTAGAGCTACTATGCTCTATATTGCAGACTTATTCTATGGTTCATATGATTTGATGGTCATTATACCCAAAACTGCAGGATTCTACCAGTGGTTACACTGATGTTATGTCTATGCTCTACTGGGGCATTCTAACAGTGGGTGATTTCTGTCTTACCTTCCTCTAAGTTACCAGGGACCGGAACAACCACGTGGGAAGCATGGCTTTTATCTTCTGTTATAGTACCCTAAAAACAAAAGATAGAGAGCATAATTTAAAGGAGCAAAGCAAAAACAATAACTCCCAGTGTTCAGCATTTATCTGAAAGACCTTGACTTTGAAATTCCCAAAACAGTCTTAAATGTATAAACAAGAAGGTTGAGAACAGTACAAGAAAGCTACGAAAGTCAATGACAAACATTAAAATTGGACTACAACTGAGATCTTAAGTGACATAAGTGTCACATTCATGGCTTATAAATACACACATTTTGTGTAACACACACAACAATTTTGTTGTGCACAGAATTTGTGTAAGATAAAATCTTTAACACGACTATCATAAACTATTGTATAAAAAATAAATAAAAAAAATAATAAATCTTGAGTCACACCTGATGCCGCTTCACAATGTCTTTCAGCTTGCTCTGTAGTTTCGCTTCAATTTCAGGGTGAAGGTATATGTTGGGTCGAGATAAGCAATTATTCTAAGTATTAATAAAAAAAATATAAAAAAGAAGAAGAAGAAATTTAGAAAGCACTTCATCTCCTAGAATTATGCAGACTAAAAAAAAAAAAAAAAACATGATGAAAGCTTCAAATATGTTTAGCAACATTTTTACAACATATTAGCACAAACAGCAGTAATCTGTCAGTGGTTTTATTCTGACCACTCGGTCTAATGAGGAAAACTAAAAACGCAAACCCAAACATAATCTTATTAACCATCAATAATAGCAAGTGCTTACCTGTACTAAAGACTTTTCAATGTTCATAAACATTTCTACATTACGATCCATACGAGAAGGATTCTGGAAATCAAACCTGCGCCTACAGGAAATATATAGACGTTATTAGAGGTGGGACTGTTTCAAGTTGCCTGTACATCTGTAATCCTACTATTTAATCAATAATAGAGATACTAATGTAAAGTGCTTAGTTTGTAGCTCAAACAATTCCAAACTTACAGCATAAAAGAACATATTTAGCCTTGGAAGGAGCAGGGACCCCGCTGTGCTGTAGTTCGTTCTAGCAATCAGCAAACTGGGACCACAATGGCTCCCAGCAAACAAACCAGAATAATAAAATCTGGCTCTCAAACCCAGAGAGCATTACAAATTTGCAATGCTGCTTTCTTGGGAGGTGAGTGAATAGGAACATTACTCAGATTAAGATGTGTTATATCTTCGTTTTCTTTGCTTTATTAGAGTTGTTCTCACATTTCATAAGCAGGGAGCTTATCACAAGAACAGCTGCATACCTGGCAACTTGGCAAGAAGGCATGATAGCATTTTGAAGTGTAAAACTCAGTATATTTACTAATAACTGTAGGAAAATTTTACATGGAAAATAATGGTGAAGGTATAAAAGAAAAATTTCTGAAAAACACAGACACCTCTAAAACTGAGCAGGATTAACCAGAAGGTCAAACGAGGCAGCTGCCTAGGGCCCAGAGGATAGACAGGAACCAAAAATATTCTTATCCTCATTAACCATCCCTATGTGAAGAATGAAGGGGGCCCAAACTAGTAACCTGCCTGAGGCCTTGTGGGATTTCAATCCTTGTCTACGCTCAAACCACCACCATACTGTGTTACACAATCACACTGCCATAAAGAACATATCTCACCATCCTTGGTCACTCTTGAATTTATAGGCGGCAGCAAGGATGTGGCAAAGTGCTCCTCCTACCTTGAAGTCCAGAAAACATTTCATCTAGAAAGTGAGAAAAAAAAAATACACAGAAATAATGTGAGCTATTTATATCCTTGGAGTAGCTAAGAAATCACAGGTGGTGTTGTAAATTTGGGCTTTTATTTGTTCTTATATTGATAGTATTCTACAAATAATTTTGACTACTTATGCTTCCATGAAAATTGCAGAAACCGTTGAATCTATGCTGGTGGACAAACCATCAAAAGCCCTTAGATTTCCAATACATTTCACTTAAACAAAATATACTTATATTAAAAGTTCCTTGAGCTTCTTATTTTTTTTTCAATACTGCTGATTGTTCTAAAAAAACAAGCATAATGTAATCACGCACAAGTGTGGAGTAGCTCAGTGCTACACAATTTTAGGGGTTCTGGGGGGGGCGGGGCGATCAAAACCACTAGCCCATACTCGTGTCCATCAAAATCCTAAATGTCCTCAGCTCCCCTTATTTTAAATCAACCCTTTCAAAGGCTACAGTGAGTAGATTTAAAATGACCATTCCATTTAAAAATCTAATTATGAATAATCTATTTTAAAAATTCACTTTTTTGTAACTTAACGAATTAATTACATTCCTAAAACATAATGGTTGTTATAAACTGAGAAAATAAGCATGAATAAGGTGTTTTTAATAAATGTGCTAAATATACCAATTGTCATCTTTCAGTATATATCCCTCCTTTATGAATGAGGTCTATAAATATACCAATATATGAATCCAAGATACCCCACTGTATGGCCCTCCCAGAGTTCCTGGAGTTGCATAGCACTTAGATATTTACCACTGTGGACAAATTTTAGTGTACTAATGATCTAAAAAATATCTAAAAACTGTGCCAACTGCAGTTATTGTTTTTTTTTGTTGTTTTTAAATCAATATGAGCAAAAAGCACATGGAATACTGAATATAAGTACAACTTTTATAAAAGTGTATTGGCACTGTAAGGGCTTTTAAAGATTTGATGTGCACCAATATTGATTTGTTTTGGTCGCTTTAATGGATAACACACAGTTTCTTAATTTAAGAGCCAGTATCTTTCACAATTTTGTGGTGTAAAGAATAATGGGAGACATTTCAGTAGTTTATAATATGTTTTGGGGACTATCCAAATAATTTGCTGTGGAAAAATAAATGGATGGAACTGGATACATTATTTGTGTTAAATAAATGTTCTTCTGTAAAAGAAACAATGCAGACTGACTCCCCACTTTTGTATGGTTTATAGAGAGAATGCATTAATTCAAATAATAGTTCAAAAGTCACATTAAAAGAAGCTGAATTACATTTTATTTCTCTCTGTCAAATCACCTTGTGTCATACCCTTTACTCATTAGATTTAGTCCTGGGGAATTTGTGGCTGCTAGAAAATAATAATATAGGCCGGGGAACACTTACCGGCAATTTAGTGAGAGGAGCATTGCTAACATGTTTTCCAAAGACCTCTTCTTGGAACTGTAGCAGTTGTACAACCAGACTGGACAAAGACTTGTTGGTAGGAGGTTCTGCTTGAATGTACTGCAGCAAAAACAGAAAAGCAATGTTTAGCAATCAGAAATGTCGTCTCCTGTGTGGGTCTGTTTGTAGTACAAGCCTGAAATGACACTAAATTTCATTGCAAGGAGGATTATTTATAACCCGTGCAATATAATATCAGTTACATTAGGTGAGCCTGCAAGCTGTAGTGGTTATGGTGCGCTTTTCTGGAAGTAATAGCTACCAGACTTTTATAACTCTGAAAACTGCTTTCTTTCACTCTAGATTCTACAGTAATGTTATTTTGATTAGCAACATTGACTTTTTACACAGATTTTATGTAATGTTGTAATTTGCAGTCTCAATAAAAAAATATTTTACATAGGTAACGTTCAGACAAGAATAGAATTTGATGCAAACATTGCTAACAATTATATCAGGACACAAGTCCCATAAAGACATTTGATAGACGTGGTAGTTGAGTAATAATTAATGTATATGGGAATGTATGCAAAGTCATAATGCCAGTTCCAGAACTAATGAACATATAGTAGATTAACAATTATAGCACCAAATAACTTTCTGCTAGCTAATGCTATATGACATATGAGAGCAATGAATTGAATGAATCATGCTCAGTATTTACATCACAAGTGTCTCAATGTATTGGCTGGGTAGAGCAAACATTTATCACAATAACCAGGCCCTCATTTCAGCAGCACAGTCCAGCCACATTTTATGTAGAAATTTTAAAGTATTTCTGTCACTATCCGGAGTCTTTCCATAGTGTATGTTAGAGCTTGACAAATCTGCTTGGAATTTAGGAGCCAGCTAAAAAAGTTGGGATCAAGTTTTTTTTATTTTATTTTTTTAAACTAAGTTATGTTTAATTTTCAATGACAAAAATAGAATTCTTAAAGGGACACTATAGTCACCAGAACCACTATAGCTTAATGTAGTGGCTCTGGTGTCGCTAGCCTGTCCTTACAGGTCTTTTGCAATAAACACTGTCTTTTCAGAGAAAAGGCAATGTTTATATTGCTGCCTAGTAACACCTGTAGTGACAGTCACTCAGACAACTACTAGAGGTGATTCCTACGCTCAGCATCGCCACACTCTGCATGGAGGTGTTCCCCATAGAGACACATTGATCTCTATGAAGAGATGCTGATTGCCGCAGTGCAGTATTTTCTCGCACATGAGCAATAGCATCCGAATGTTTTCTTATGGGAATGCATTGGCTTGGCAGAGAATAGATCTTCAAAGTTGATGATGTCAGCCATGGAGGCATGGCCAGCTATGGCGAGATAGGCATGGTGAGGGGAGAAAAAAAAGGTGAGAACATTTCCCACGCAAACTGATGGGAACCAGTGACCTAAACAGATGCACTCACTGACAGAGAGACACACACGCTTACTGACAGTGAGACTGATACTGAGACACACTTTATCACACACTCACAAATGATTTTTATTTTTATTTATGTCCACTGAGCTTCCCTACCTTTGGGAGATCTAAAGTGGATCATTGCCCTGGGGCATCTGTAATCTTCAAGCTCTACTTGCTCTGCTCTCTTTTGTTCGGTTTAGTGATGCAGGAGCCGGAGTCACGTCATATTCCGGCTCCCGGCATCACAGCAGGGTTTTGCGAGGGAGCAGAGCAAGAACTGCAGGAAGATTTTTGCTCCTTCGCTGCCTGTCTCCATGCTTCATCGAGCAAAAAAATACCCACTTTTCGAGCCCTGTCATATGTGACATCTCTTATGTTGAAGTGGCCGCAGGGCGCTGTGGGATGTTGTCCTACTTACCATCTTCTTCCTGAAGATTTTCTTCAGCTCCTTGAGATTCATCTGCCAGGATTTGCGTCAGTCCTGTACTCTTGCGCATGCGCAAAAGTACAACACTCACTTCTACGGAAGATCCTGTGAAAGCCTCCATAGATTACATCTGACGATGGGTAAGACAAAACCTGACTCTCACAGATATCGCTTACTAGAGCTGCTGGGATTTGAGAAAAGCTGACTGTGATGCTCTGCCTTTTGTCAACCTCAGGCTTGACCGTAAGACAAAAGCAGTCCCTACTTATAAATACAGTATGAGTACATTATAAAGATATCATAAAATGCTCAAAGAGACAGAACCGCTTTAACCCCTTAAGGACACGACATGTGTGACATGTCATGATTCCCTTTTATTCCAGAGGTTTGGTCCTTAAGGGGTTAATACGATCCTGCAGAATACATTTCCCACAAACATCTAAATAAAAAAGGAATTATCTGCTTAACAAGACAACAGCAAAACTAAAACAGAATTATTTTTATTAACTGGTGAGTATAAATAGAGTATAGAGTAGTAATAAAGTTATTCCTAGAAAAATAGATTTAGAGAGCGCAAGGTAAACATTCACACAAAGAAGAAGGAATGCCCTCAGATGACTCACTCTCTAGGGCAAAGGTAAATTTGAGCCTTACAACCAACCACACGCTTCTACCATTAAAAAAAAAAAAAAAAAATGTAAACACTACAGTCCATCTTACTCCTCTCAAAGACAGCAATCACGGATACACACTGCTGATGTTCTCCATGGGAGCCGTGAATGCCTGATTTTTAATACAAACAAAAAGCATGCCTTCAGTCCATTCAATTCCCCATTGTGACTGAGATCCACGTGTCTGATGTAGAATGTGCAACACTCGCGCACTGAGATGATTTGGTGTAGGTCTCGTCTTTTTTTTAGTGATGGATATACGAATATCCACAGAAATCTGGTTCTTATCGATATCAGCTCCATGGACAAATTCGCCATGTGCCCTCCAAAGGCATAGAAGGCATACAACACATAGAAGGCACATGAATATAGCGTGCCCCTCAAAATTATATTATGACAATTATTGGTGTGTGTATAATAGTTTTTTGTTTTTTTACATTGGACCCCTTTAAAGGGTCACCAAGAACTATAAAAACCATGCACATCTGCAGAGGTTATGGTGTCAAGAGGACTGTAGCACCTTTGGATCGGTGTAATCGAATTGCTGTGCACTAGGGACATCGCTACATAAGGCCTAGTTCACACACAAGAAAACCTCTGTATACACTAGTAGCAGTCGTGGTATGGCTATAAGCTTATCAAGCAGCTCCCCTTATATTATGTGATGAGTGGAAGTGTAGTTGGGGCCTGCATTACTTAGCCCAGGAACTATTGCTGCCTTGTTGTTTGCGGGGTAAGATAAAAATGCAGAACAACAAGGCAGCAATAGTTCATTATTAGTAGTGGAGCTTCTTCCTCGTTAAATCTACCAACTACAGCACTTGCAACGTGATTTTTTTTGAAAGCTGAAAGTATTTTTTTTTTGTATATTCACACTATATATACAAACAAACAAAAAACCAAACGGCTTCCTTTTAAATGCATTTTGGCTAAAAGTTGTATGAAAAAAGAAGACCAAGTGATTAAAATGGCAATGCAGTTAAATAGCAGTCATACAGAGATCAATGTGTCAGCCCATAAAGGGACTTTTTTTCTACAAGAGAAAACGCCTAAAATGTTGATGTTCTTCTGATTAACTTAAGCTGAAGTGGTCTGGGTGCCTATAGTGGTCCTTTAACCCCTTAAGGACACATGACATGTGTGACATGTCATGATTCCCTTTTATTCCAGAAGTTTGGTCCTTAAGGGGATAACTGAATTTTTGCTTCTTTTTTTTCCAATAAATTACACACATAATATTCTCTGGTTTTTTTTTATAAATATATATACAAATACACACATATATAAAGCACAGAACCATACATACAAAATGGGTTTAAATACTATGAGTTTATATAAATTTGAATACACAGGGGGCTCACTACCTCCTGTTCTTGCAAGCCAAAGTGTGTTTAACTTTTTTTTTTTTGTATGTCTTGCAAACCTATTGTACAGAGCTGCAGAAAATGTTGTTACTTTATAATAATAATGATGATGATAATAATAATAATAATAATATCACATTGGCAAGTAGAATCAGTGACAGGTTAGGGGCAGCTGACACATGGCAGGTTAGCCTGGGGGGATTAACCTGTGTTTGACAGGACAGCTGAGCCATGAGAAGAAGGGGGGAGGAAAGGGGTGGGGGTATTTATTTTGGAGCATGGTGACAGCTCTCACTGGGTGTACTGGTTTGATTATATAAAGAAAGGGTTTACCAGGAATCCAGATGTTTTAGGATTTCCAGCTCAGTAAATGGGATTCCTGGGGTCACTGTCAGGGGAGGTCACTGACATGTCCATTGATGGGGTTTGTTTAGACGGAGATCCCAGGGCTGGCCTGCCATTACTGCCATGCAGCGTGGCTGGGGGTGATGGGATTTACCGATAACCCCAGCCCTGGCTGTAGCAGGCCTTGCCCATTCCCAGACACCGGCCTTGCCCGCCAGGTAGCCCCCACTACCGGGGTGGCCGGCTCTCTGCAGCGGGCATGGCAGGCAGTGAGGGAGGGCCGGGGGGTATTTTGGGGTCCCCCGTGCCCCCCAGGTTTGTGCCCCCCCCCCATCGGGCCCTGCTCTTTGTTCTCGCCCGTGCTGGCAGCCGATACGCCGAGCCCAGAGATTCGCTAAGGACATCGAGCCCTTCTCTCCGGTACCTTCTTGTAGTTCTTGCCCAGCCACAGCCGCACGTTATCGAACTGGGAAATGGTGTCGGAAGACTCATAGTATTTCACATTCGGGCCGCCGTCCTTCTTCCGCACCGCCATCTTCTGCCAGGCTGCCGGGCACCCACAACCCGTGAACGGAGCGACACCTAGCGGGTAAAACGGGTATTACACACACAGCGATACAGTCACTGCATCTGGCGACACCCAGCGGGTAAAACGGGTATTACACACACAGCGATACAGTCACCGCATCTGGCGACACCTAGCGGGTAAAACGGGTATTACACACACAGCGATACAGTCACTGCATCTGGCGACACCTAGCGGGTAAAACTGGTATTACACACAGAGAGATACAGTCACTGCATCTGGCGACACCTAGCGGGTAAAACTGGTATTACACACACAGCGATACAGTCACTGCATCTGGCGACACCTAGCGGGTAAAACGGGTATTACACACACAGCGATACAGTCACTGCATCTGGCGACACCTAGCGGGTAAAACGTGTATTACACACACAGAGATACAGTCACTGCATCTGGCGACACCTAGCGGGTAAAACGGGTATTACACACAGAGAGATACAGTCACTGCATCTGGCGACACCTAGCGGGTAAAACGGGTATTACACACACACAGATACAGTCACTGCATCTGGCGACACCTGGCGGGTAAAACGTGTATTACACACACAGCGATACAGTCACCGCATCTGGCGACACCCAGCGGGTAAAACGTGTATTACACACACAGCGATACAGTCACTGCATCTGGCGACACCTAGCGGGTAAAACGGGTATTACACACACAGAGATACAGTCACTGCATCTGGCGACACCTGGCGGGTAAAACGGGTATTACACACACAGCGTTACAGTCACTGCATCTGGCGACACCCAGCGGGTAAAATGGGTATTACACACACACAGATACAGTCACTGCATCTGGCGACACCTGGCGGGTAAAACGGGTATTACACACAGAGAGATACAGTCTCTGCATCTCGCTACAGGCTGGGGACACCTAGAGGGCATAGCGGGTACAGCTCTATAAAAACTGCGACACCTGGCGGTTATACCGGGTCGGGTTATAGATAAACCGCGGCCAGCTTCTACCAGTGAGGGATGGGTTAATCACATTTATGAAGAATACCCAGCACACAGAGGTGACAAGGTCGGTAAGGATAGTGACTTAAGCGCAGAGCACTACTGGATTGCAGGCAGAACATAGACGGTATAGCTAGTGGGAAGAGACACCTAGCGCCAGACTGGGTATAGCTAGTTACAGGAAGAGAGACACCTAGCGGCCAGACTGGGTATAGCTAGTTAGGAAGAGAGACACCTAGCGGCCAGACTGGGTATAGCTAGTTACAGGAAGAGAGACACCTAGCGGCCAGACTGGGTATAGCTAGTTACAGGAACAGAGACACCTAGCGGCCAGACTGGGTATAGCTAGTTACAGGAAGAGAGACACCTAGCGGCCAGACTGGGTATAGCTAGTTACAGGAAGAGAGACACCTAGCGGCCAGACTGGGTATAGCTAGTTACAGGAAGAGAGACACCTAGCGGCCAGACTGGGTATACAGGAAGAGAGACACCTAGCGGCCAGACTGGGTATAGCTAGTTACAGGAAGAGAGACACCTAGCGGCCAGACTGGGTATAGCTAGTTACAGGAAGAGAGACACCTAGCGGCCAGACTGGGTATAGCTAGTTACAGGAAGAGAGACACCTAGCGGCCAGACTGGGTATAGCTAGTTACAGGAAGAGAGACACCTAGCGGCCAGACTGGGTATAGCTAGTTATAGGAAGAGAGACACCTAGCGGCCAGACTGGGTATAGCTAGTTACAATCTCTCTCCATTTTCTCATTCATTTTCCTGTAAGACTGGATTCTCAAACCCTATTCTCTATCAATTTGGCACATGTATCACGTGTAACCAGTAATAGAGTCTACACACTGAGAGCTCGCCGTATTAGAGCGGATATTAGTCTCCAGGATCACCGTACACGCTCTCCCATAACGCACCCGGTGATGTACGCGCTCAGTGCTGCCATAGAATCAGACAGCCCGGCCGGGATTCGAACCCGCGCATTCTGCTCCCTGGCGGCCATTTCCTGCTCACAGCGGGTTAAGCTGTGAATGACTTTGCACCAATGAGCGCTGAGATAGCCCCAGCCTGCTGCTCACTCTGTGTCAAGGAGATGAGCGGCAACGTTGGCTGACAGTCACGGTGGCCGAGTGGTTAAGGCGTTGGACTCGAAATCCAATGGGGTTTCCCCGCACAGGTTCGAATCCTGTCCGTGACGGCTACGTTTTTTTTTTTTTTTTTTTTCTTCATCTGAAGTAAAATGCATAATCCAATCCATGTCTAATTTATTGTTACCTTATTAAACAGCAACTCATGAAAAAGAACATTTTATATTATAAATTTTATATATACAGTTTATATGTAAAGGAAACAAGCATGAATTTATTTACATTCCCTGTTTACATGATGTAAACTATAATCGAATTTCTGTATACTTTTTTATACATTGGCTTTTATATTTTTTTTTATTGTATATAAGAACTTTGTTATCAAAGCTCAATGAAAGTTCCACAATTAATAACATTAAAATCTCAAGGAGGCCATAGGTAAAGAAAGAGGATACCAGGCCTGATAATTATTACTATCAGAACAGAATATTAGGTGGACTAACAAAAAAATTGTTGCACGAAAACAAGGAACGCTATATATAATGGAAAGACTCATGGCCCTGTACGGAAGATGGTGACATCTAACCATCCCAAAAGATGTGGATCTTTGTGTGTGTGAAAATAATAAAATGATGGGTAAGGGGCTCGAAATTAAAGGAAGAAAAAAAACTAGTGCTGCATAAAGTAGAGTCTATTTAAATACTTCTTTGGCCCACAGCTAGGTACTTCTCGTTGTGCATGAGACCCTTCCGTTAAGTGAAGGGAGGAGATTGTACATGCTGAAAATTTGACCAGAAAACAATAGTGAAATCAATGAAGAATATAAAGAACAAAACATAAAGCAAACAAGTATTAGCAGTAAGTACAAGAGGCCAGTCCCAGCAGACCCTTATCAGTGTGAGCAAAGGAGGGAGGCAAAGGGTTAGAGGGATCTCTGCCATGCCAAGGTACTCCCTGATCAGCATAAAAGGTGAGACACATTTTTAAAAGTATGAGGAGAGAGTACTTACTCACACAAGGAGGCGAAAAAATACACAACCCACAGGACATAAATGACAACATAGCAACATACTACCACACATTATACAACCTCAAGAACGATACAACACTACATCACAACCCACCAACCTAGAAATTGAGGGTTTCCTCGCTCTTTCCAAACTACCAACACTGACAGACTTACAGCGATCACAACTACAAAACCCAATCACAGCAAATGAGATCCTGCTCACCATAAATTCTCTGCCACCTGGCAAATCACCAGGACAAGACGGCTTTACAAACGCATATTACAAAAAGTTTGCCGCCACTCTGTCCCTACACTTAGAGATAGCATTCAACCACATCATACAAACAGGCAAGATCCCACCGGAAATGCTGATGGCACACGTGACCACCCTGCCAAAACCGGGCAAACCCCCAAACAAATGCCAAAATCTGAGGCCAATCTCACTCCTGAACACCGACATCAAATTACTAGCAAAAATTTTTGCAAACAGACTAACACCCATCATACATGATGACCAAGTAGGATTTGTCGGTGGCAGACAGGGAGCGGATGGCACGCGTAAGATCCTAAACTTACTTGAGGGGAGGGACCAGTGTCTGCTGCTCTCATTGGATGCTGAAAAAGCTTTTGACAGGCTGCACTGGCCCTTCCTAAGCACAGTCCTATACAAATTCGGATTCCCCAACACATTCATGCGGCTAGTGGAGGCATTACACTCTGCACCGACAGCTAGGGTGACCAACGGGGGCTTCGCCTCCAAAAAATTCGACATCACAAACGGTACTAGGCAGGGATGTCCACTCTCACCTATTCTCTACATCCTGTCACTAGAACCACTTACACAACTTATAAGAGACAACCCCAACATCCACGGCATAAAAAGAAAAAACAGAGAATAAAAAATCACCTTATTCGCGGACGATATACTCCTCACCCTAGAACAACCTCACATCTCACTGCCAAACTTTCACAACACCCTAGCATGTTATAGCAAATGCTCCCACTATAAGCCCAACGTCGCCAAAACGCAAGCCCTGGGGATAAACATCCCCACAGCAACTGTGAGGAACTGACTCTGCTGGGTTTCCAACCCTGGTTTACATGGTGCTAAACCTTTTCATTACCAGTACACCAGCCTGCCTTTTGCAAATTTACCTGAGATCTGATACCATTGCTTGTAGAGTCAAGGTTATCAGTGACAACTCACTTCAGCTGTGTCTAGTCAGGTGTCTGGTTCTTGGCCTATAAAAGCCACTTCCTGTCTCTTTACCTTTGCCAGATTATTGTGGTTCCTGTACTCTCTAATCCAGCGTGTTCCTGTTTCTCCTTCCTGTTGCTGAATTTGGACTGTTTTGACTTTGCTGCTTCTCCTTCCCACTGACCTCGGCTTGCCTCACTACGATTATCATCTTTCTGTTCCAGTCTCCCATCTCTGCTTAAGACCAGAAGGCCACTCAAGGCTCAGGGGCTCAACCACCTGGGTAACGAGTGGCTACCTCTGGCAGAAAACATTGCTGATCTGGCTACTGGACTCCAAAACTTTGTAACATCAATATCATTACAGAATAATCTGGCCCATTCATGGAGACCGTCGGATCAGATTCTGCATTGGCCCAGCAGGTTGCTTTTAATGCAAGAACTATGCAGACCCAGGCACAGACCATTCAAGTGCTGCAGGATCAGGTAGCTGAACTGCAAAATGAAGTTCGATCAATGCATAGTGAGCTTACCAGCTACAGGGCACATGATGTTGCGGCTGCTGCTACTACTACTGTTACACCTGCACAAGATGCCCGCTTGCCTCTACCAGAAAAATTTGGAGGAGACCGCAAAAAATTCAGGGGTTTCCTAAATCAATGCCGTTTGCATTTTATGATGTTACCTAACCGT